GTAGTTGTATATTCAGTTGTAAATGGTGGTGGGAATGTAGTGATTGTAGTTAATGAAGATCCTGATTGACTTACTATACCTGAATCTGTTTCAGTTAATCCGTTTGAATTTGTAGTTGTCCATGTAGTAGTATATTCAGTTGTAAATGGTGGTGAAAATGTAGTGATTGTGGTTAAAGAAGATTCTGATTGACTCACTATACCCGAATCTGTTTCAGTTATACCATTGGAATTTGTAGTTGTCCATGTAGTAGTATATTCAGTTGTAAATGGTGGTGGGAATGTAGTGATTGTAGTTAATGAAGATCCTGATTGACTTACTATACCTGAATCAGTTTCAGTTAATCCGTTTGAATTTGTAGTAGTCCAAGTAGTTGTATATTCAGTTGTAAATGGTGGTGGGAATGTAGTGATTGTAGTTAAAGAAGATTCTGATTGACTCACTATACCTGAATCAGTTTCAGTTAATCCGTTTGAATTTGTAGTAGTCCAAGTAGTTGTATATTCAGTTGTAAATGGTGGTGGGAATGTAGTGATTGTAGTTAAAGAAGATTCTGATTGACTCACTATACCTGAATCAGTTTCAGTTAATCCGTTTGAATTTGTAGTAGTCCAAGTAGTTGTATATTCAGTTGTAAATGGTGGTGGAAATGTAGTGATTGTAGTTAATGAAGATCCTGATTGACTGACTATACCCGAATCTGTTTCAGTTATACCATTGGAATTTGTAGTTGTCCATGTAGTAGTATATTCAGTTGTAAATGGTGGTGGGAATGTAGTGATAGTAGTTAATGAAGATCCCGATTGACTAACAATACCGGAATCCGTTTCAGTTAAACCATTTGAATTTGTAGTTGTCCAAGTTGTAGTATATTCAGTAGTAGTAGGGCTTGGTTCAATCACGATAATGGTTTTCGTCTTATCGGTACTTTGAAAAGGTAATGTAGTCACCGTTGTGGACAGAACCGTACCCGTAGACGTAATTACCACCACTTCCTGTCCTTGCGAATTTCCGGAAGCGTCATTGTATGCTCCCCAAGTTACTCTATAATTATTTCTTTGTTGGAATGGACTACCAGCACAATAATAATTATTTGTATAAGTTGTAGTAGGAGATCTTCCATTAGCAACACTCATTAATAAATCAATAAAAGGTCTATAACCACCTGGAATATTATTATAATTTATAGTATAAGATGAACCATCACAACTTTGAGAAAATGAAAAACCAGATGTTGATTCTGGATAATACCAAGCATTTAATTGATTTGTAATAGCTGCATGAACTGATGAACAATCTATTTGACCATTAACAACACTAATACCTAAAGTACCACTTGAATATCCATTTGGACAATTACCAGCTAAAACATAAGATTGTTGTTTATTTAAAGATGGAACAACACGATTATTAAAAACAATATTATTTGTATTAATTCCTTGATTAGTATTTGCATTTGAACCACCAGTAAAATCAGCAGTAGTTGATAATTGTGTATCACCATCAGTAAAAGTAACAGTATTTCTACCAGCTGTAAAACATTTTGAGTCTTGTAAATCAACAGAATTAGCTGATCCTCCAACATTAAAAGTTAAAGGAAATGAAATTGTTCCATATGCATTTTTTGAAGGATCAACATTATTACTTGCAATACATTGTAATTCTGAATAAGGAACAATTAATTCACCAGGAGCAAATTTACAAGTAGCATAAACAGTGTTTCCTGCTATTAAATCAATTGAAGTTTGAGTAGTTGTAAATTTAAATACACATGGCATATGTAAAGTAAAATCATCTCCAGGGCTGATGTTTGCACCTGTAATCTTCCATCCTATTGTAGCTATCCAATTTGGAGCAGAAGGTGTTTGTAAACGATAATTTGCTGCATTTTCCCAAACTAAGCTGTCAAAACTTTGAAAAATGTTTGAAACATGAGCACTAAAACAAAGTGATGATAAAATTGAAAAAATGATTAAAAAAATGTGTGGTAGCATTTTTTAAAATTGAACGAATTTAGTTAGTGATTAAGTGAATGAATATGATATTAAATTAAAAGATAGAAAAAAAGATTTAAAAATAAATTTTAAAGACAATTGACTTGGAAATTCATATACTTATATGATAAATTTGTTATACCATTTTTATCAAATATATTGAATTGCCTATTAAACTTCATAAAAGGGCCCTAAAAATGATGTAAAAAAAGGGTTTTTTTTTATTTAATTAAGTTCATAGAGAAGGTTGCAAACGTTACACAAAATAGATTTGCGTTAACACTAAAAACTAAATCTAAATCGCTTCAAACTAAAAATCTTAATATAAATTTGCTTCAATTTTATTAATGTAAAACATATTAAATTTCTATATGTCTATATACAATTCCATAACTAAAATTGGTATTTATCCGAAATTAAGAGAACTTTAATCAATTTGAATGTCGCTATATACTTCTGATCCAATATAATATAGACGGCTATAATTCTCCATTTGACGATTAATTTATGATTTTTAAAGGGTAATTAGTAAATGAGGAAACTTCTTTCAACTTTTTTCATCAATTTTACTTTAAAAGAAAGAGAATAAATCGTATCACACATTCTAATTAAGCAAAGTGCATTTATGAATTTAATTAGACGATGATAAAAATAGAACAAACTCTAATAAGAATAAATTCTTGTGAAAGTTTATTGAGTTATTACATATTATTGATTGTACAATAGTTTTTCAATTTTGCAATTTTGCATTAATTGCGAAATTATTTAATTGAAGATTTAAATTGAATTGATTATTTCTCTGTTAATTTCAAATCCGGACTGGATTTGTTATTTTTACTTACTGAAGTATTAAACTTTTTATTGAATTCGTTATTTAGTTAGGAATACGAATAATTTTTGTCAACCGATATGTAAATACTTGCATTAAAGTTTCAGCCATTATCTAAAACAGCAATTGCAGTTTAGTTTTTTTACATTCATTGTCCGTATTGTGCGTAAAGCAAGATAGAATTAACTGTAAGAAACCAGGTATAGTAGTTGATTAAATAAATATTGTTTTATCTTAAAGGGTTCAAATAATTTTTTTGTTTTTTTGTTTCACTATTTTTAATTTCAATTTAGTGTCAAATTAATTTGTGCAATTTATTTGCAATATTTGATCGACTTCATTGAAAATCTTTATTATAATATAAGTAATATTTACGAATACGAACTTGTGAACGTGATCAATTTACAATATATTAATAAGATATTAATTGTAAAAACAATTGATTTAAATTTCAATGATAAAAAAAGTTGAAAAGTTTTGTAAATCTTTTCGTTTAATTAAGTCAATGAAATGATATAGCAAATTTATTTTGAAAGATGAGACATCATTAATAATAATAGCATTGAACAAAGGATTAACCGATTTATAATGAGCTGTGTATTTGTTTTTCATCTAAAATCTATGATAGTTGTCTAAAAAGTAAGCAATTGAAACAAAAGCCCAATAATTTTGCAACAACAAAGAAAATAAATCTGCTCCCTCCTATATTCATAAAAAGTCTTAAATTTTTGCAAATAAAAATGTCCAAATTCGTGTAAGTAAAAAGAGATAACATGCTTGTTTTCGTAATTGATTGCATGGAATATTTTGATTTGTTATTGTTTTTATTGTTGTCATGTAGAACTTGAATAAAATTTATAAACAAGATGGCTCAAAACCACATTTTTAAATTTAATAACCAATGAAATATGAATTTTTTGAGTCAACGTAAGAATTAGTCTTAATACTTAGCTTTCAAAAACGTCCCTTTCAAAAGTATGGAAGAAAAACAGTTTAATAATCAATTGTATAATTTTAATAAGTAAGATTACTAATGGAAAAAATAATTTTTGTGTTATATCTTTTTATTATACAAAGACATAGAGAACAATTAATTTTTCGCTTAGAGGATAAAGAAGAATGTGAACAATAAGCAATAAAATTAAATAAAGGGAGATTGTAGATCATTTATTAAGTGAGTATAAGGCATTACAAATCTATTTTGAAAAATTATGGTGCCATATTATTTTGAATTGGTTAATAACCTAAATTAATAGGAGACTTTTTGCATTCTCCAATTTAAGATCATTTGGATATATAACCTTTCTTCAAAGTTTCAAATAAATTATGATATTTTTCCTTTCGATTTAGTGAAAAATTTACAATATGATGCCTCTTTATTAACTGTATAAATTAAATGTTCTATGTATTACCACTTAAATTGATTTAAGGTTAAAATTTAAATAAATATGATGAAATAACCAAACTTAAGCTTTTTTTAAAATCCAAAATCATTCAAAATACTTGTTGAGCGTAGTGTTAATTTCAATTGAATACTCTCCTAAAAGATTGGATGATCAAAGTATAATTCAAATCGATTGCTGTTTGAAAATAGAAGAAAAAATGCCGTTTCTGTTTCATATTATATCATCAAAGAAAATGTGTACTTCAAGAAAAAAAAAATTCGATGGCTCGGGTGGATCAAATAAACTACACCTCTCCTTTTATTAATAGAAAAGGATTTTAAAGCTTAACTCTCGGGTAAATTTAGTAAACGTCTGCTCTTCATTTGCTCGAAATCTGACTTACATTTGCTACGGTAAACTAAAAAAACAGTTTTAAACCGGTTTAAACTAAACCCTATATTTTGTGGCTAAAAAAATAGATTGATTTTAGTCTATCTAATTTAAATCAAAATTGTCTAAAAATGCCCTTTAGATCTAATCTTAGATTATAGCAAAACAATCTTATGATTTTTAAAACAAAGTTTATTTTGAGGTGTTGTTCAGCATAAATTAATCAATTGAATGGATATGAATTTGAAATTCTCAGATACTAAGCAAGGAAAAATATCTTGTATAAAGCATATGAGGTGAAAATTTCATATCTGAAAAGACACAAATACAATTAGGAGAGACAGTGTTCATAATAGGATTAAGTGCTAAAGCATTAATCTGTATAATAGACTAAAAATTGCTCAAAATCTAACTAACAATAAAATGTCGTTAATAATTTCGTTAAATTTGAAATGTATGATTTACATTGTATTCAAAAAAAACAATAAAAAAAAAATAGAAGAACCCTTTTCAAATAAAAGAACGATTTTCTTCTATCGTTTTATGCAGACGGAATAATATAATAATAAATTATCTTTTATGTGTTATGATAAAATCTTGATTTTATATCCGAACACTATGTATGAAAAATTTAAAGTTCTATTAATTCTATATCCTAGGAAGTACACTACGCATTTAAACTGAATCTGAACATGGTTTGTATGATAAATTCTTCGTATAAAGAATACATCGTGGTCTGTTATGAACAACTGAATTCATCTAGTTTTACTACTAAAACATTGTTATTTATTAGTACTTCGTATATTCGTCTAATATTGATAAAGATTTGCATGAAGATCAATAAGATTAATCTTTTCCAAACTTAACACAATTCGCACTAACTTAACGTTTAGTTCAAGTTTTTTACTAATAATATTGAATAGATTAGATTTGGAGACAAAATTAATTCAATAGATCATCTATTACTGTCAAAATAAAGGTAGATGAGTAACGAAAAAGTTGCTTTCAATACTAAGTTTGCTGTATCCAACTCATGAAAGTTTCAATGGATTACCCTAACTTGAAAATCTTTGATAAAGATGGGAAAATATATAAACGAGAAAAAATTTAACTATTGAGGTTCGGACTCAAATACTACAGTTGCGGTAAAGATGTTAGATCAGGGGTTTGTTTACATTTGAAATTATCATTTTTTTCCATTATTCGTATTTTGAACCTATTTGAATTTCATACAAGGAGTCTAATTGATTTTGAAATGTCAATCATCAGTCAAAAAAGCTGATAAAAATTGTGTTTTTTTCAAGGTGGTCAGGACGTGTGCGGTACGGACAAAAATTGGAGAGTTACTTAAATTATCAGGGAGCAATTGTATTAGTATTATGCGTATATTCTTTTAACTATTTTAAACTATTATGCAAATTTTATCCATCAACTTCGTCAACCCATTCATTTAATTCTTTTCTATCAATTATTCAGTTGTAAGTTTTTTATAAATTGTTACATCTAAACCTAAAGCTTTATATAATTGATAAACATTTAATTTTCTAAATTCACCTTTATTTAATCTTTCTTCAAAATCTAAATAATCATTATAAATAAATTCATATAAAATTGATAAATTTTTTTTACATTCATAAGATCTTAATCTTTTCAATTGATCAATTTCATTATCATCTGAATCAAAATTAGTTGAATTATATTCTAAAGGTTGTAAAATATTTGATTTATATTCATTATATAAATTTGAAATTTCTTGATTTATAATAATAAATTTTTTAATATTATTACCAGTATTAAATAAATGATTTTTAATTAAATCTAATTCAAAACCTGAATAATTTGAAAGTACAGAATTAATATATTCTATAGATTGAATTAAATCGTTTTTAAAAAACATAAAATCTCTATTTTTATTAAACAAGATTAAATCATTTAAATGATAATCAGCGGTTTCAAAATAATTCATAAAATAATTTGTAACTTGATTTAAATAAAAGTTTAAAATTTGATCTAATTCTTTTTCAAATTGAAAATTTTGTTTTTTAAATGTTATATAATTATTTGAATTTATATTAAAACAACGTAATAATTCCTTGATATAACCTTTTGCTGTTAATCTATTAAATTCTTTTGGAATACTAACTGATCTAATTTTTTCAATGGCTTCACTATTAATTAAATTGAAACTTGGTTCTGTCTCCACAATTGAAGTTTCTTGAAAATTAGTTGCAATCATTTGATGCGTGTGTAAGTGATGGATAGTTGAATAGTTGAATAATAAAAATGGAATTGATCCTAAGATTGATAAATCAAGATAAAATTTTATGGATTTTTACACTTATATATATACAAAGTTTAAAAGGGAGTGAAAATGATTAAGTTTTAAAGTTTAAGGGATTTAAGATCTAAGATTTTTGTGTATTAACACACTCAATAATAATATATTGTTATATATAATAATTTAAGTTTTTAGTGTTTCAGATTCTCAAATACGATAATTTTTACGTATTAACACACGATAAATTATATTATCACAAGATTAATTAACAAATGGAAAAGAATAAAATAGAAGAAAATGACATCTACTAATAAAACTATAGCCACCGAGATCATACTTTTGTTAAAATGACCAATCCTAATGTGCTAAATGAAGACTTCAAGCACATTCAAAAACAAATTGATCTGCTATACTTGGATTGAAGTTATGTCAATACAGAAAAAACTTCTTAATTTAATTTGGCTAACAAAATTAAACGTATAAAATAAATTGAAATTATGAGCAAAACTTTGGTTGTCTTTTGATGTTAATTAGTCGAGTGTATGATGAAACAAAACAATAAAGAATTGGGCTGAGTCTTTGTGAACACAAGATTTAGACGAAGTGTTTGAGCTAAAAAATATTAAACTTGAAAACAATAAATTAAACATGTTGAAGATCAAAGAATTAAGTCTCAAAAATAGCTTTCTGATTATTGAAACTGCTAACCAACTAATTGCCTATAGGTCCGTATACTACTGTTGTTCAAAAGATATTGATCCTTCTACCTTATTTCATATGATCGCGCTTGGCGCTAAATATGATCGATCCAAAATATTCTCATGATATATTCTGCAACACTTTTCTTTCATATCTTAGAAACAATATTTCATTCAATATTAGATTAGCTAGTGCTGCCATACATTTAACAAGTATTACAAAAAGATGAGGTTTGTCATAGAGTAAATGGGATTTCTATGTGAATTATCTCATTTACTTTATTGAAATCAACAGATTAGTTTTGTTTATTCAGTTTGTGTAGTATTCATTACTAATTCATACTCAACAATAGCATGCATATTGGTCTAAAGTTTGTGCCACTTGTCTCCTCATCACGATCAACAATAATACTAAACGAACCAATAAGGTATTAAACGTATCACACTAGTTAGAAACCTTGAATTCTACCATTACAATCTTTAAAATTCATTTTCAACAAAAATATACCAAAATGAATTCAAATAAATTGATCTTCATTACAATCATTTTAATAATTCTTCTTTGTTTGAAAAACAATTACATAATTCAACAATGTGTGGATTTAATATCACCAAAAACTAAACCTCAAAAATATTTGTTGAGTGTATCAGCAATAGCTTCTCAATATGAAAGTTTTTTAAAGATTTATGATAATTGTTGGGCTAATAATGGTCAATTTATAAGTAAAAATTGTATAAATAACTTACTGAAACAGATATCGATATGGTCGATTTCACTAGTAGCATTAGATTATTTCAATAAACAATTTCATAAAGTGGGAAATTTACATAAATTGGAGAGTTTATATAAAGAGGAAAATTTATATAATGCTTTTAAAAATGATTATAAATCTGTACAATTTGGTGATGCTAAAGCTTTAGTATTAACAAATGGAATAGAAAATAATAATGGAACTGAATTTATTATTAATGTCGATTCATTCAATAAACAAGATAACAATGACAGTGATGAAAATTCAATTGGTATTTCATATACTCCAAATTTTAAACAAGATTATGATTTGGGAAAAGTTGGATTATTATTATTGGGAATTGATGATTTTAATTCTAGATTTAATTCATTAATTCCAATGACTTTAATTGAAGCTCATAATAATGGAACATGGATAATTCTGACTATGAAAGAAATGGACAAAAATGACAATTCAAATCCTAGTTTCTCATCAAAAGAGAATTTAAAGTGGTACATTAAAAATGATGAAAAGTACATAAACCGTAAATCTTAGTATGAGATTTAGCTGAATTGCAATTAGTTGAAAGATCGTTTTGATCAGTTTGGATGAGGAGACTAGTTCTTGATGAAAAATTCTACAGCTTGTTATGGATGCAACTGGTAATTTAAATATGTCAAAATAAGGTATGATTTCATGAGCTTTGGCTGTATTAGGACAGAAATTTGTTTGAATATAGGTTGTTAAACCTACATTAGTTGATTTTAATGTACCAAATATCAAAGCTTGGCTTATGAAGAGTTTCTTTATCGATATTACACATTCCAAATTGATATTAAATCAGCTCACTCTACATCCAAGATCGATAAAGAAACTTATTATCCTATAATTTAAATGAGATATAAATAATCGAATATATTAAAGGCGATGAAGAGATACAGTTTTCAATCTTGACCTTATTTGTAAAACAACAATTACTCAAATACATTAAATAGTTGAATCTAGTTAACTAAATCTAAATCATCATCTTTATTTTTTTCCATTTTATTAAAAGCTTTAACTCTTGCTTTCATTAATTTATCAATTTTAAAACTATTTGAATTTAAAACTGAATCACAACCAGATATAGGACATTCAAAAGGACCATATCTATGTGTTAACATTTGTTGTTGAATACTTGATTTTTCAAAAGTATGATTACATGATGTTATAACTGGTTCAACAAATTGATTTAATGTAATTGGATCTTTTAATGATACTTTACCTCCACTTATACCTATTGCATCATCATCATCATTATCTTCATCAGGTACTGGATCTTCTGGGTTTTTCATAATAAATGTTAAACTTCTTAATAATTGATATAATTTATCTGATTTTATAAATTGATTTATTTGATAATTTGAACTAATTAATTCATTTTCTTTTGATGATATAAATTCTTCAACTGATGGATTTACTGATTGATGATATTCATCTAAATTTGTTAAATTTAAATTTAAATTTGGTGAAATATATTGTTTTAAAATTGTTTCATTACTTAATTTTTCAATTTGTGATAATTTAATTTTGGAAATTATTAAATTTTTATAAGTTTTTAAATAATTATTTAGTATATTTTCATTAAAATCTAATGAATCATTTGATATTATATGATCAATATATTGATTTACTAAATTAATATGTTGTTTTAAAGCTTGTGGAGTTAAATCATTACCTCTTGAACCTGATTGAAGAATTTTATTAAAATTAGATCCTAATGAATAATGTAGTGGAATATATGTTGGTAATGATAAATTTGAAGGTAAATAATCATCATTTGGATTTGAATTTGTAGCGAATTCTGTTGATTGTGACATTGATGATATTGATTGATGTAGAAAAAGTGATAAAAAAATAAAAAGATATTTAAACGCGTTTTGATAATATTTATTATTTTGTGTGAATTTAATGAAACAAATATCAAGCTTTAGGATAAGAAAATTAGTTTGAAGATACCATTTAAAACAATCTCGTAAGTCTCACATCTCATAAATATATTATTAGATGAGTGTCTTTAAAGCTTAGGATACACATCAATGTCAAAAGTAACTTAAATTTTTGTGATAATTTATCTTTCAAAAAGGCTAGACTACTGATCTAGTGAACAATTAGGAATAAAAAAAAAAGGGTTTTTCACAAATAGAATGAAGAGTACGAGATTCGAACTCGCGCGGTAGACATACCAACAGATTACTAAGTCTTATACGAAGGGTTTGAACCTTCTCACTTAAGTCTGTCACCTTAACCAACTCGGTCAACTCTCCATTTACAAATTTTTTGTATTAAATACTTAATAGTAGAAATTTAAAAGCGCCTAAAGTCGAAAAAATTTACGTTTTAAAAACTTAAAAAAAAAAAAGTAACTGTACTAGAGGCTGACCAATTTAGGACGGAAGACCTTGAGTCTTGGTCGACAGTTTTGTTAAGTTCTCAATTGATAAGCTTATCAAAAGAATTTGTTTTACATGTGGTTCAATCGGTTACCATTCGAGTTGATAGAAAATCACTTTAATTATTTGCATATATTTAATTTATTCATTTCAATAATTAAATATAATGAATGGTGAACATGCATTAGAAGATATAACTAAATCAAACAGCAATTTGAAAAATGACAGAATCAAGCGTCAGAAGTTGGACTCCAATGTCTATGTTTTACCTCCTCCGCCAACATTTCATCCACAACTTCTGTATCAAAATCAACAACTATATCAAGGTCTAAATCAACTACAATACCCACAATCTTATCAACTCCAATCTTATCAACAACTATCTTATCAACAACCTTATCAACAACCAATTCAACAACAGCTATATCAACAATCAATTCAACAACAACCAGATGAACAACTCATTCAACAACAACCATATGAGCAATTAATTCAACAAGAACCATATCAACAACGACTTCAACAACAATTAACCCAAGAACAAACAATTCAAGAAGAACTGACTCAAAAACAACAAATTCAACAACTAATTGATCAACTAACTGATCAACAATACCAACAACAATTACATTATTTACTAAATCAAAGACAAAAATAACGACAATATCAACCAGTTGATGCTACTTTAACCACATCAATACCTTCAGTTCGTGATTCATTAGTTCGCGATGAATCTTAGGCAACTCATTTAAATGTGCAAGGTGATTAATTTTTTAATTCAAATGAATTGAAATTAGAGGCAAGGGTTCTCAGTCTTCAGGTATAGATTCCGATAATAATAATAATAATGAAGATTATAATAAGAATAAAGAGGCTAACGATCAATTTAATGAAAATGAAATCAAATTAAAAGCTGGTCTTGAGTCATCCCAATAGATATAACTACCAACAAAATAAACTTGAGATAAACAGTCAAATGTAACATCCTGACCATTAACAGCATTGTGCTATAAAAGCTATCAATGAAAGGTTTATAGCCAGCCGGAACGTCTTTAAATGAAAAAGTAACTAAAGTAGGAGTACACAGTTGTGTTGTCATATATTTGGTGGTGAAATCTTTTGGAAAAAACCAATCATTCATAGTATTTAAAAAACCAAAATGCCAATTTGAACAATCAAATGTTTGAGCTCCATTAGCTGAAAGACCAAGTGTACCGCTTTAATAATTTATGGGACAAATGTGAGGAAGTGCATAAATTTGTTGTTTATTTAATGTAGAGGCAACGCAATAATTGACTGATGATGATTCAATTGAATTGTTTTTGGGGTTAGTAAATTATTTTATTTCAAGTGTATGCCGATCCTAAAGCAGGCCCTGTGGATCTTTAAATGATACAAATAATCTAGATATTGTGATGTTCTCTCAAATTGTTTCTTAGGTCATTTGGTTTATTTTATCAATTAGAAAGGGAAGAGGTACAAATTCTCGAGAATCATAGGTAATGATCAAACACAAAGTTTCGTACCATGATCACAAAGAGAGAACGAAACTTAATAGCAAGTCTCATGATGTGAAGATTTTGACTAAAAATTATTTTACAAAGTGTAGATTAAATCTAAGAACGACTAAAATTTGCGATTCAAAAATTGTTTGATGGAACTATGGACGGGCCACTTTTAAACGAGAGATTGGTAACTTTGGTCGATAGTTTTGCTGAATTTTCTATTGATACTAAAGTTTTATCAAGAGATTTTATTTTAAATGTGATTCAATCCAATTACAATTCAAGATGATAGAAAACCATTTTTTCTTTCATTTGATTTGTTGTAAAATCTTGATATAAATCTTGATAACCACTAAAGTTAAAAAAAATAAAAAATATTATACAAAGGCAAATCATTTGTTACATATATTCAATTTATTCAATTCAATAGTTACACTTGATGAGTGGTCAGAATCCATTACAAGATATCACACAATCATGCAACAATCTGACCAATGAACGAAACACAGGTTGGAAGTTAATCTCCTATGTTGCTCCTGCCCCGCTAACGTTTCATCCAAATTATCTAAATCATCAACATCAGCAACAATTTTCACAACAACAACAACAACAATCATATCAACGACAACCGTATCAACAACCTCAACCTCAATATCAACCTCACTATCAACAACTTCAACCACAATATCAATACCAACAACCTCAAAATCAACAACACCAACATCATCAACAACAACATCAACCTCAATACCAACAACAACAACAACAACAACAACAACAACAACAACAACAACAACAACAACCTCAATACCAACAACAACAACAAGAACAACCCTATTTGCAACAACCTTTACAACAACAACCCTATTTGCAACAACCTTCACAACAACAACAACAACAACAACAACAACAACAACAACAACCTCAATACCAACAACAACAACAACAACCTCAATACCAACAACAACAACAACAACAACCCTATTTGCAACAACCTTTACAACAACAACCCTATTTGCAACAACCTTTACAACAACAACTCTATTTGCAACAACCTTTACAACAACCATTTCAACAACAACCCTATTTACAACAACCAATCCAGCAATCAATCCAACAACCTTTAGCAGCTATCGTGGATACTCCAATACGTTCGGGCCATGAAGAATCTCAAGCATCTCAAGTAAATTTAGAAGGTAATGAATCTGTTGATTCAATTGAAATCAAATTAGAGGCAACATCCTCTAAATCGTCAGATGTAGACGAAGAATCTTCATCTGATAATAATGTTGTTAATAATGAAAATGAACCAACATTAGAAGTAACGACTTCTCAATCATTGTTGGATTTATTTGAAGATTCTTCATCTGATAATGGAAACTTCAATTTTAACGACGAATCTACTGATAGTAATGGTTCTGATGATGAAATAACTGATGATGAATTAAATGATGATGATGAAAAAATGGAATTGTTTTTGGTATTGCTTGATTATTTTATTTCTAAGATATACCGATCCTGAAGCAGGTCTTTTGGGTCTTATTTTTTTAATGAAACAACTAATCTAATTGATCTACAATCATTTGATGTTCTCTCAAATTATCTCTTATTTCATTTGGTTTATATCATCAATTACAAGTGGAAGGGGTTGTTTATCCCCGAAAAGTACAGATGTATAACCAAAACATGAGGTTTTATACCAATAATTACAAGGAGGGAATAATACATTACATTTTAAATTGAAACAGAAACATTTCCCTTTCTTATATGATTCTTGATTTCAAAAATTGGTTTTGAATGTTTTGCAATAAAAAGATATTGCAACAAATTTGTTGAAAAACCTCATGAATTTATTTGACGTTTAATATCACCACTTCAAAAATGTTTTATTGAAACGAATTACATCAAGCTTTAATTAATAGTCTTAAGACCCCCTAAGTAAGCAAAGACTCCACCGAATTTTGTTTTGAAATTTCTTGTCATGAGTGTCTAGTTTCTTCAAATCACAGGTTAGATCATAATTAATGAAAAAACCCCGAGACTTTTAGAACTTTAAGCTAAAGCTAGAAACTAGAAATCAGACTAGTCATACTTTGGTTGGCCTTGAATATTGTAACATTTTGGTGTTTCAGATTAGATGATAGAATTATAATAATTTATTATCTAAGAAATTTTTTTATATCTAAGAAATCTCAAGAGATCTCTCGTAAATGCAAATGATCCGAACAATAATAATTATAATAATTTTATCTTGTCATTTGTTTCATAACTATCTCACGTTGCTTGATTTGATAAGGTTATGGTAGATCATTTCTATTCTATTCGATGGTGAAAATTAAACATAGCCTTTTTTTATTGATCTTTATATTTATCTCTAAATAATCATTACTATCATTGTGCAGGGGGAAAAGATCTAAAATATTTTGTGTAGCAATTTAGACAAAAGAAAATAGAAGAAAAATTTAACTATTTAAACATACGAACTATTGAATCATTACAAACAAATACTTTTTAATTTGAAATTTCGTTTTGACTGATACATGTATCATCGTTCACTGATCTTGTTTAATGTAATATGAGATCTTGTATGAATAGTGAGTTTAATTTTTATTCTTCGTTTTGTGAGTTATATGAGAGTATATTGTATAATTTTAAAGACTTCGTAAATTTATTTTTTTATTAAGAAGAAATTTAAAAACTTTAAATTTAAATCCCTCGAGAATAAAATCTACTAAATATACAAAGCCAACTCATTATATGATTAACATCAACGGCAATTGAATAGTATATATAGATCAGTTTTAGCTCTAATAAGATCATCTAATTAAGTAAGTGAAGTCAGTTCGATGAGTTGTAGCAAATCCTTCCCCCCACAAATCTTTAAATTTGTGTTTTGTTTTACCTTACAAATTTTGTGTTACAACTCAATTGTATTGTTTCTATTTCATTTTTCTAATTTTAAGTAAGACTTTTTATTCTAGCAACCAAATATAAACTCATTTCAATTCTATTGATTTCAATTTACAACTACATTGTTCTATTAATCATTTAATTCTATATTATCATTGTATTCTTCATATTAATATATATCATTTATACAACTTACAAAATCATAAATCGTTTACACCAACCCAATTTCAATTCCAAATCAATCCGTACATTCCAATCAAGTTTTTAAATTTAAATAACTCATCATAAACAACAAAAGATAAGTAAATATATCATTACATTAGTCTAGTACTTTTAAAGAAGAGATCAATACCACCTAAAGATGTCATATAATCGATCTAGAGATTTAACTTTAAGGAATAATTCAAGTCAAGAAGATACAAATGAATCAACAACTATTAATCCATTTAATGAACCATTGAATAATAACCAAAATGATCAAACGTTGAATCAAAATTCAAGTTCAAATAGTATACTAGAGTCTCCATCATCTGAATCTTTAAATTATAATTATAATCAAAATATTAATAATTCAAATAATAATAATCAATATGGTAGAAATTTTACAGAATATTCAAGTGATAGTAATTCAAATTTGATAAGTTCAGAAATATCATCTTCTTACAATATAACTCCACCAAATGATTCAAGATCAAATATAAGATCTTATAGTAACAATAATAAGTCAACAAATCTAAATAATCAAAAATATTTCAAAAATCCTATAAGAAATGATAATTTAAAAATTAATAAACCACCACCTTATGATAGATATCCAATAATTCATGATTCATCAACAACAAGTAATTCTTCTACTTCCCTAGCTGAAGAAGAAGAAAAAAAATCATCACCTTTTGCAAATGTTATATATCCTTCAATAATTCCAAGAACTGAATCTACTTCTACAGCCACAACCAATAAAAAAATTAATTACAATTCAAATTATTCCGATTTTAGTCCATTTGGTGGATATCCCGCATCTTCATTTCCTTTAAATATAGATGAAAAAGAAGCAGATGATGATTTACATAATCCTGATCCAATAAGAGATATAATTTATGATAAAAATCGTTTTTGGTATGATTTAAAAAATGGTGATAAAAGATCATATTTTGGTATATTAAGTTTTTTTTTATTAATTGCTGCAGCAGTTGCAGTATTTGTAATATTACCTGCGTTAACATTTACTGGTGTAACTGATCATAAATATGTTCCTGAAACTTATGAAATTTTAACTCATTATTCTTATCCTATGTTAAGTGCTATAAGAATAAATTTAATTGATCCAGATACTCCAACCGCTGCATTAACTATACCTGCGAAAGATGGTGATGATTGGCAATTAGTATTTAGTGATGAATTTAATGCAGAAGGTAGAACATTTTATGAAGGTGATGATCAATTTTTTACAGCTCCAGATTTACATTATGATGCAACAAAAGATTTAGAATGGTATGATCCAGATGCTGTTACAACTTCAAATGGTACATTAGTGTTAAGAATGGATGCTTTTAAAAATCATAATTTATTTTATAGATCTGGTATGGTACAAACTTGGAATAAAATGTGTTTTACTCAAGGTAGAATTGATATTTCTGCAAGATTACCAAATTATGGTACTGTTTCTGGTTTATGGCCTGGGCTTTGGACAATGGGAAATTTAGGTAGACCAGGTTATTTAGCAACAACAGAAGGAGTATGGCCTTTCAGCTATGATTCTTGTGATGCAGGCATTACACCAAATCAATCATCTCCTGATGGTATATCATATTTACCTGGTCAAAGATTAAATTCTTGTACTTGTCCTGGTCAATCACATCCAAATCCAGGAGTTGGTAGAGGAGCACCAGAGATTGATGTTATAGAAGCAGAAATTTCAACTGATGCTACTGGTAAAAAGGAAAATAATGGAGTTGCATCACAATCTTTACAAATTGCTCCAATGGATATTTGGTATATGCCAGATTATGATTTTATAGAAATTTATAATAAATCAATAACAACAATGAATACTTATGCAGGTGGACCTTTTCAACAAGCTATAAGTGGTACAACAACTTTAAATCATACATGGTATCAATTAAATAAATTGGCTAATCAAGAACATAATTATCAATCTTATGGATTTGAATATTTAAATAATGATAATAATGGTTATTTAAGATGGTTTGTTGGCCAAACTCCAACTTTAACAGTTTATAATACTGCTTTACATCCACTGGGGAATGTTGGTTGGAGATATTTATCAAAAGAACCAATGTCAATAATAATGAATTTAGGTGTTTCAAATAATTGGGCATATATTGATTGGTCTTCCCTTAATTTTCCAGCAATTTTTAATATTGATTATATAAGAGTTTATCAACCATCAAATAATTTAAATATTGGTTGTGATCCTGAAGATTATCCTACATATGATTATATTCAACAACATTTGAATATTTATGAAAATGTTAATTTAACTTCTTTTGAAGATGGTGGTTATTCTTTTCCAACTCATAAATTGTTTGGATGTAATTAATGTTTGTTATGTTTGTTTGCTTTTTTGTGATGGGTTTATGTGTTTGTTTGCTTTCATTTCAAAGTTTCATTTCTTATGGTACTGGACTTTTATGTATAAATTAGCTATGTTTTTATAGAATCGGTTAAACCTGTGTTTTTATTTAATTTCTTCTTTTTTATAGCCCCATCTAATCATATTCTCCTAATCTACCTAAAATTTCAGCAAAATCTTTTATATCAACATTAGCACCACCTTTATTAAATTTAAAATTAATTAAATTTCCCCTTGAATCTTCTTTACAACATCCTAACATATCAATTAAAAATAAATCATTTAATGGAGCTTTTGTTTGTGGATCATTATCTAGATTTAATTGTGTTTTAACTGTTTTGAGATCTGGTAATGTTAGAACGAAATCATCAGGATTTTTATCTGGTGATGATGAATTTATAAATAATTTCCAACTTTCTCTTATATGTGCCTCATTATTTCTAAATTTTATCAATTTATTTAATTGATTTATTAAATTTTCTAAATCAATCATATCTAATAAATCATTTGATGATTTTGCTGAAGTGGGAGTTATTGTAAAAGATCTTAATAAATTTAATGTTATATAATGTTTTGAATTAGTTGGTTCTAGCACCAAGTCTTTCCCATGTAAGAATTGATAGTAATATTCAATAACTTCGTCTATATCTTGATGAAATATTAATGGTATCTTGAGTTGCTCTAGTAGTATTGGTAAATCTTTTAATAATAAATCTTCTTGATCTTCTCCTAAATAATTTGTATATGCTTCAATTATTTCATCTTCGATTTCCGGATCAACTGTTGTGAATTGTTCTGAAACAGTGAATCCTCCTTTCTTTTTCTTTGGTGGCATTTTGGCTAGTGGTTTGTTTGATGTGTGGTTTAGTACTTCTGTCAATAAGAATCGTTACTCAGATATTACGGACTTTTAATTTTCAACGGAGATAAAAATTACGATATCGGAATTTTAAACAACATGGAATTTTCAGATCTAAACTTCGATAATTAAAAAATGACTAATATCGTGAAAACTCAAGTACGAAGACACTTCAATCAAGTCGAATTGACAAAATGACAAAATCCTCCACTGACTTGCCATCAGTTAAAACTTCATTAATTGAAGTCACAGACAAATTATCTAATCCACCATGTAGAATTTTTTTCAAAAATGAATATTTACAACCATCAGGATCTTTTAAATTAAGAGGAATTGGATATATGTTAGAACAAAAAATCAAAGAAGCTAAGAAATTAAATAAATCAAAAGTTATTGTATTTTCATCATCTGGTGGTAATGCAGGTTTAGCAGCTGCTTATGCTGCAAAATATTATAATGTTGAATGTACTGTTGTTTTACCTACTGTTTCAACTCAATTGACTATAAATAAATTGAACGAATTAGGAGCTAATGTTATTGTTCATGGTGATCATTGGGGAGAAGCTGATGAATATTTAAGAGAAATAGTTATGAAATCAATTGATGAAAAAAATGATTATCCTGTTTATTGTCATCCATTTGATGATGACTTAATATGGAAAGGTCATTCAAAAATTGTCACTGAAATAATTGAAGAGAATCAATTACCTAACCTAGATAATGTTAAAGGAATTGTTTGTTCAGCTGGTGGAGGAGGAATGTATAATGGGTTAGTAGAAGGTTTGAAAAGTCTTAAAGAAAATGATATTCCAATATTAGTAATGGAAACATTACAAGCACCTACTTTTCATGAAACTATTGAACAAAATAAATTAATAACATTAAAATCATTAAAAACACTAGCATCTTCATTAGGCTCACCATATTTATCATCAAAAGCATTTGAAAATTATAAATCACATCCTACATATTTAGGATTAATTGATGATTTAGATGCTTTAAAAGGAACTATTGATCTATATGATAAATTTGATATATTAACAGAACCTGCTTGTGGTGCTTCTATTTCAACTGTTTTTGATAAAAAAGATTTATTAATTAAAAATTTTAAAAATTTAAAAAAAGATGATATTATTATAATAATTGTTTGTGGTGGTTCTAGCGCAAATGAAGGGACTTTAGATTTTTATAGGAAGTTAATAAAAGATCAATGATATAGAGTGTTTTAATAGAGTTATAGATTTAAAAATGTTTCACATGTTCTTCTATGTCTGACTTATAAATTTATGACACTTAATTTATTTATTATTTTTTTTGCTGGGGTAAAATTGATTATCAAATTAATTAATCCGTACTACTAATTTAAGTAATTAACAAATTAATACGTTTTAAGATTAGCAAGCTCATTCATTAATTATAGCATAACAACAAGAAAGTTTCAGAACATTCTATAAAACGGACAGAGCAGCTCTCACGAAACTCAAGTCTTTCTAATCATAATATCAAACTTTGTGATGTCATCTAGTTCCACCACATGGTTTAATTTTTGGAGTAATACTACTACAACTGACAATACTAATGATAAAACTACAACAAATGAAACTGCTTCTACAGATCAATCAGTAAAAGTACCGAACCAAGCATCTGTCAGCAAATCATCAGGCAAAATACCGAACCAAATAGCTGTTATCAAATCGAACTCACCAAAAATAAAAGCATTATCAAATGCCTCACCAATAAAGAAAAAACCCGCAACTTTATCAAAACTGGATAATTTAGGACATAGAGCTTCAACTACATCTTTGGCATCAATGACATCAGGTAACTGGCTTAGTTGGAAGAAAGAACCAACAACATCATCGAACTTTAAAGACGATCAAGACATAGATGAAGATGACGAAAGGCGAGATGAAAATGATGAAGAAATAGAAACAAATGATGAGGATATTGTACCTGATGACAATGGAGATGAAGTTGATGATCATGTTAGAGGAGATTCAAATACAAAAAAGGGAATCAACTGGTTCTGGAATGGAACTAATAATTCTAAAACAAATTCTAATACTGCTTCAAATTCAAATTCGAATATAGGAAATGAAAATAATGACGAATCAAATCAAAGTCAAACCCAAAATTCAACCCAAAATCCACCTCAAAATCAAAGTCAAAGTCAGAGTAAAAGCAAAGAAAGTAAAATACTCAATGCAACCAACACAATTTTAAATTCAACTCCATCTATACCAACTAAAGAAGAATTAAGCAATTTTGCTAAAAAAGTTCCAGATGAAGTACAACGAGATGATGCAGTTTTATATAAACCTCATGATAAAGCAGCTCAATTCAATCAAATCAATACTCATAAAAATGAAAATTTAAGAGAAAATATTATAGTACCGGATTGGAATACTTGTCTTCCGACGGCAAATGAAGGTCTTCATGTTTTCCAATCATCATCAACTTCAAATCAAAATAATTCTAATCAAATTATACGGACAGATTTGAAAAATTGGAGACAATTTTTAAATTTAATTTCAAGTAAATTTGGCTTTTCAGCAGGACCACTTTCAGATTCAGATACTTCAAGTCAATCTGATAATGATAAAGCAGAAGAAGATTTTGGTTTACTCTATGAAAAATCTTATAAACTTTATGGAAAATCATTAGCAATACTACCTGAAGATAAAAGAGCATGTTTACCAAATTATAATAAATATTATCGTGATGTTGATTCACCAGTTAGAAATGAATTACCATCACAATATGAAGAAGATCAAAATGATCCAAATTCCATATCTATAACAAATGATGCAATGGGGAATTTATTAATTAATAGTTCAAATAATAAACGCAAAACTTTACATCAATCATTTAATACAGAAATTGTTAATTATAAATCTGGTCCATTAAAAAGAATTAAAAATGTTTTAATCATAGGAGTTCATGGGTTTTTCCCAACAAGAATGATACGACCATTAATTGGAGCACCAAAGGGAACATCATTAAAATTTGCAAATGAAGCAGAAAAAGCTGTAATACGTTATTGTGTTGAAAATAATCTTATAAATAAAGATCAATCAGATGTAAGTATTCAAAAAATTGCATTAGAAAAAGAAGGTAAAATATTTGATAGAGTTCATTTTTTTACAGAAATTTTACAAAAATGGGAAACTGAATTAAATAATGCTGATTTTATTTTTATTGCTTCTCATTCTCAAGGTTGTGTTGTATCAATTATTTTATTAGCTAGATTAATAAGAATGGGAATATTAAAAGATCCCATACATAAAAGAATTTCAATATTAGGAATGGCAGGAATTAATAATGGACCATTTTATGGTGTTGATAAATCATTTTTTATGAAAGCTTATTCTGCTATTGAACATGATTCATTAAATGAATTATTTGAATTAACTAAATTTGATTCACCTCAATCAGTTGTTTATAAAGAATCTATAAGAACAATAATTAATGTGAATGTTAAAATATGTTTCATAGGATCTATAAATGATCAATTAGTTCCTTTATATTCAGCATTAGCATCACATATTTTCCATCCAAATATTTATAGAGCTTGTTATATTGATTATACTTCAGCTACACCAACATTTATTGAAAAATTAGTTTCTTTATGTTCACAATTATTAAATTTAGGATTTTTTGATAATAATGTTATAAAAGAATTAAGTACTTCATTGGCAGGACCATTGACAGGTGGAGGACATTCAAAAATTTATAATGATGGTAAAGTATATGATTTAGGTATAAAATTTGCATTAGATACTGATGATTTAGTTATACCACATGATGGAAAAATTGATTATGATGATTTTGATAATAGTGAATTACCAATATCAAATCAAGTATATATAAAGGAATACAATGTTGGTAAAATTGGTACAAATCCATTTGTTTTACCTTGGTGTTTAAGAGGATTTTTATTTAATGTTGAAAAGAATTGGCCAACTAAAAATTATCATAACAATAAAAGAAATGAAGGAGGTTTAACTAATGGATTTACTGAAATTCATGAATTATATGAAATTTTTGATAACTGGAAACCAGATACAAAAATTTATAAAGAATTAAAATTTAGATTAAATGGGTTTAGGGCGAGTAAGTTATAGCAATAAAGAATAGTCCATTCTTATAGATTGATGCTCTTGTTTCAAATCTTATAACTCTAACAAATTTTTGAGCTACCAAGTCTCTTTTTGTCGTGCAATTACTCAATGCAATTACACAAAAAATCAATTTTCTAGGTAATGCATAATCTCAAGATGATGAAACCATTATAAACATCTTTCCATAATCATAAAGCCTTATCATCATGTCAGATTACGAAGATAATGCATTCAATGAGGTAGCAGAGAATTATGAAGATTTTGATGCACCAGATCATTTTTCAGATAATGAATATGAGGAACCAAATGGAGAAGATGTACAATTAAAAACAGATGATGGAAGAACAATAATAAATGGAGGTTTGGGACCAGATGATGCAAATAATGCACAACAACAACAATCACGTAAGAAAACAGTTAGAGAACTAGCTATACCGAAAGACAAAAGAACTACAACACCATATATGACCAAATATGAAAGAGCAAGAATATTAGGTACTAGAGCTTTACAAATTTCATTAAATGCACCTGTTTTAGTTGATATTGAAGGTGAAACTGATCCTTTACAGATTGCAATGAAAGAGTTAGCTCAAAGAAAAATACCATTAGTTATAAGGAGATACTTACCAGATGGATCATACGAAGATTGGGGTTGTGATGAATTAATCGTTGATATATAAAATATTTGAACCAAAATTGGATTTACAACACTGTTGAAGAAACCAACAGACTCCAATTTGAGTACCTTTGCTTTACAAAAGGAAAAAAACGAAACCGTGTATTATAGAAATATGTTTTTCTAATTTAAAATTTATGAATGACAGATTAGCATATACTGAAAAATAAATTATCAATTGCAAACCATGTTTGACAGCATTACAGATAATGTTAGATAATGTTCTAATCTCTTAAGCTATATCGTCAACTTTCAACTACATATTTGAATACCAGTTGGTAGCCATATTACAAACGCGTTTTTAATTAAATAATATCGAACGAAATTTAATGTATATAGAATCTCACAAACTTGATTGAATTTGTACTACTAATATAACAAAAAATCAATTTTAAACATTTAAAACTGTGTTTTCCACTTGTTTTCATTTTATATCATTAACTTTTTAACCATTTGATCAAATTGATCAATAACATATTCACTTTAATCGAAAAATATATCACTTGATAATATTTATTTAAAACCAAAGATTCTTCACCATTGGTACAAAATCGAAATCAAAATCAAAACAAAATCTTCAAAACCAAAATTGATTTAATGAACAATTTATCAGATCACCATAAATAAAACTTCAACATAATTCAAAATGCCACTAAAACCAAATCTGAAAGGGTCTCAAAAGAGCCGAACAACGTCAAAAGAATCATCACCAATACTGACAGAACAAACCACATTTTCAACTGATTTGCAGCATTGTTTATTACAGTCATATACATTTAGTGAAGTCATGAAGGAATTCTCAAATCACCCGTGGCCACAATTAAGCAAAGAATGTTTCAAAATTATATTGGAAATGGAAGACGAAAATCTCAAAATTTTGAATATTTGTAAACTTTTAATTCATGGAATATTACATAAAAGAAGGTTTCCTTTTCTTTTTAAGGTAGATAGTGAATTTCGAATTCAAATAGTCGAGACCTATAGGAAACTACTTGTAGTGGGCTGGAGTTTGTCAGAGATAGAAATTCTTTTATTATTCTATTTCATCAATCGAAACTTAAATGAAGTCAAAAATTTATTCCCATATAAAACTTGTGATACATATTTTTCCTCAATACTCGAAACTTTACCAAGTTTTGAATCAAGCATTAATTTCAGTTTACACCATGCGCAACCTGATCGTTATGACTTAGTTGAGGAGACTATGAAATTTAATGCAAATGGTAATTCGAATTTTTATAAAGTAAATGATTATGTACTATCCATAGCTTCAATTCAAAGAAATGAAAGAAAGAAACAAAGTCAATTATTTGAATCTTATTTAAAGGATGATAAATCACAAGCTGTCAAATTTGAAGATTGTTTAAAATATGATCTTACGAGTGAAAGTTTACTAGAATGTTTTCCAGATTTTGAACTTCATGATATACTTGAATATGTTGAATCATGTCCAGAATTCAACCCATCAACCATAACGTCTGGTGAGAAAAGATTAATGAAAATACTTGTAGCAGAAAAAAACTCTTTAGATGAAGTGATTCCTTCATTCCCGTTAAGAGATAAACAAATCATTAAATCCAATTATCATGCCATGGTTTATGCAAGTGGTAAAGTTCCAAAATTTAAAAATGGAATAGAAAGATTAATATATGAACAAGGAATGACCATGAATACTGATTCTTCAGGAAGAAGGAATTCTAGAAGGAGTCTTCAAAGTGAATTTGATTTAGATATGTTACAAAAATATCAAAAACAAGCTAGAAAAATTGAATATATGAAACCTGTTAAGCCCGAAGGGAAAGAGAAATCACTACTCAAAAGTGAAAGGACTAAGAGATTGCATATAACTAAGAAAGAAAAAATAGAAAACAGAAGGGCTAAAACTAAAGAATTATGGATAAAAAGAAGACTATCTGGAACATCAATTGGATCTCAAACCGGAATTAGTAAAACACCAACTTTAAAAACTGAGATTCGTGATTTGAATGCTGGTTTTCAGCATTTTCAAACTGTTGCAGGCGATAGACAAAAAATTATAGAAGGTTCAAAAAGAAAACGTATTCAATCAATATTTTTTGAACCACTGACTGAACCAATAATTAAAAGAAGTCAAGTCAGACAAAATCAAAAAGCTCAAGCAAGATTACAATTAAAAAAAGAAGCATTATTAAAACGTAAAAATGAAAAATTAGTTAAAAAAAGAAAATATACTAGAAAAGTAGCATCAGATTTTGAATCAACTCCTGAACCAAGTGATGATGATTTTTTAGAAACTCAATTAGATGAAGTAAATCGTATCAGTAAATATGATCCACCAGATTTAAATGCTGATACATTAATTCCATTATATAATCGTCAATTATATATTGATTCTATATATCATGATGAACCATCACTTCCAACTTTAAATTTTAGAGATTTAAAAGAAAATGAAAGTATTAAAGATGCAATGACAAGTAATGATGGAACAATTTTATTTGATGATGGATTAGCAGCTCATGTTGTTGGATCTCATATTAAATGTTATAATGAATTACCAATATCATTTCCAACTTATTTTAATCAAGTTACAATTGATGTAAATTATGAACATAGTGTTAAAATTAGATTTTTATTATATCCTGAACATAGTGAACTGTATGTTTTAGCAGAACCAAAAGATAATGAATTAGATCCAGTTCTTGAAATTATGAAAGTTATAATGATACATTATGCATTATATTTTTCACATTCTGAAAAATTAAAAGATATAATAAATGAATATTGTCATCAATTAGAAGCTTCTATAACAGATAGTGATTTTACTGAATTTTTATATATTATTGATAAATGGAATTTATTAATGTTATATTTATCACCAAATGATTCATCAGCTTCAAAAATTTTAAAAGAAGGTAAAGATTTAAATGCAGGAGTAAGAGTATTATTAAATCAATCTGAATTTAAAATCCCCAATGTTGAAGAATTAAAATTAGATATATTTTATGAAGAAATATGTTTTGAATCATTAAGTCCTATATATGAACCAATAATTATTAAAGAAGAAGGAATAATAGAAGAAGATATTATTGATGATCCAAATTTAGATATTTCAATAAAAAATTTTGAAATTCCTGAATTAACTACTACTAAAAGAAATTATACAAAACCTTCAACTTATAATTCAGATTTTTTTAAAAGATTAACTACAAAAGATACAATTTCAAGATATACAATGCAACAATTATTATTAAGAGTTTATGCAAGAGTAGTATCAACAGATTCAAGAAAATTAAGATCTTATAAAGCATTTACAGCAGAAGTATATGGAGAATTATTACCATCTTTCACAAGTGAAGTATTAGAAAAAGTAGAATTAAAACCAAATCAAAAATTTTATGATTTAGGTTCAGGAGTTGGTAATACAACTTTACAAGCTGCATTAGAATTTGGAGCATGTGTTTCTGGAGGTTGTGAATTAATGAAACATGCATCATATTTAACTATATTACAAGAAAATTTAATTCAAAAACATTTATCTATATGGGGATTAAATAAATTAAATTTAAAATTTTCATTAAATCAATCATTTGTAAATAATTTACAAGTTCAAAAAGATTGTTTAGATTCTGATATTTTAATTATAAATAATTATTTATTTGATGGTGAATTAAATGCAGAAGTTGGTAGATTATTAAAAAATTTAAAAACTGGTACAAAAATTATAAGTTTAAGAAATTTTATATCACCAAGATATAAACCTACTTTTGATACAGTATTTGATAGATTAAGTGTTGAAAAACATGAAATGACTGATTTAATGTCTGTTAGTTGGACTGCTAATAAAGTTCCTTATTTTATTTCAACTGTTGAAGATGAAATTAGACCAGAATATTATAAAAAATTAGATAAACATGAAATTGGTTTATATAATGCTTTTAATTCAAGATCAGGTACTCCATCTATTATGAATGATAATATGGATATTGATGTGAATAGAGATGAAGAAATGGATATTGATGAAGATGATGAAGAGGAGGAACTTCACAATCAATTTGATGAAGAAAATAATGATGGAGAATCTACTCCACCAACTGATCAACATTCAGATAACGATAAATAAATAATTAAATAGACTCTTTTATGTATTTGCTTTTTGTAATATAAAACTATGTAAAATATTCTATAAAACATTATCATTATTTATTTCCCATTAGTTTCGATAGCTGCATTATTATTAAAATGATTAGGTTCAACAGATCCTATTCTTGAACTATTATTACTTGAATTATTTAAATTATTATTTAATTTTTTTTTTTTTAAAGATGGACCTTCAATTTCTCTTGATATAGCTAATAATAAAGTATTTATTCTTCTACTTATTTCTTGAGTAGTTCTTGATTGAATATACCAATCAAATTTAAAAATATCAGAATTTAAAATTTCTTGTTTAATTTTATCATATAATTTTTCATCATTTAAACCAAATTTATAAACACAATTTAATAAGAATTTATCTTCTGTTTTTGAATAAACTCTTTTTGAATTATTTGGTGGATATATAATTGTTAAATCTTCATATGGATCTTTTAATGATTCAATTTTTTGAGCTAGGAATTTTTGTTGATTTAATAATTTTTCTCGTTTTTTTTCCATAATATCTATTTGATTAAGATATTTTTCATATCCTTCAATCTGTTTATAATTTTCCCAAAATGTTTTTGAATATTTTGAAACTTCTTTTTTGGATTTATTACCTAATGCCTTTGAGATCTTATCATATGATTCTCTTCCATATTTTGCTGTAGCATGAATAAAATTTGTAAAATCACGTCTTGACCATGATAAAAAACTTTCATCAATTAATTTATTTTTATATTCTATTTCTTCTTCTGTTAATGGTATAGCGTTTTTTATTTTATCTTGTTCAATTTTTAATTTTTCTTCTCTTGTTAATTCATCTCTATCTTCTTCAACTAAAAATTCTTCATCTGAATCTCCAAAATCATCTACTGAATATTTAAATTTTATTTCTTTTTTAAATGCTAATTGTTCCCTTTCTAATATTTCTTCTAATTCTTTTGATATAAATTGATGATCTTGAGCTTGATATTGTTTTGGTTGTTTTGGTTTTACAACAACTTGTTTAGGAACTTTTTCTTTTACTGGTACATTAGGTTTTGATAATACATCTTTGTAGTAGTTGTCAACAGAATATGTTTGTTCTTTTCTTACTCTTTTTGAAGGATTTATCCAACTAAAACTATTACTATTATTATCTTTTTTTGTAAAATCTTGTCCATTCCATTGATATGCACTTCCATCAGATGTAAAATTTTGTAAATCTTCTAAACCTAATTTATTAAATTTTTCATTCATTTTATGAGTCTTTTCTGCACCCTTTTGTAAAATAGATTCAATATCATCATCTAAATTATTTTTCAGTTTTTGACCTTCAAATACATTTTTAGCACCATGTTGAATCATTTCAATTAAATCATCTTTTGAATTACCAACATTGTTATTAGCATTACTTTGTCTACCTTGTTGAATAACTAATTGATCCAATCTTAATTTTTGAGCTGCTCTTTCTAAAACTTTTTCTTCAATTGCATTTTCTGTAACAAATCTAAATACCTTAACTTGTTTTTTCTGACCAATTCTATGTGCTCTATCCATTGCTTGTAAATCAGCTTGAGGATTCCAATCTGAATCATATAATACAACTATATCTGCTGAAGTTAAATTAATACCTAATCCACCAGCTCTTGTTGTCAATAAAAATAAAAATTTAGATGAATCAGGTGCATTATATTCATCAATTGCTTCTATTCTATCTTCATGAGACGTAGATCCATCTATTCTACAATATTCATATTCTCGGAAAAAGCAATAATCTTCTAAAATATCCAATACTCTTGACATTTGTGAAAATATTAATACTCTACTTCCTTCATTTTTAAATTTTTTTAACATTTTATCAAGAATAACCATTTTACCAGAATTAAAAATTAAATGTTCATCTGTAGTATATGGTGGACCTGGCTCTGCACCATCAAATAAATATGGATGATTACAACATTTTCTTAATTGCATAACTATATTTAATAATCTTGTTTTACCTTCTCTTTTACCAACTACTCCATTAACTGCATCAATATCTTTTTCTAATAATTTTCTATACCATTCATATTGCATATCTGTCATACCCGTATAAACATTTGTTTCTATTTTAGGAAGTAATGATTTTTCAACATCTGCTTTAACACGTCTTAATAAAAAAGGAGATAATAATTGATGTAATTCCTGTATAACTTTATCTTGTTCTTCTTGTTTTTGTTTTTCACTTAATTCTTCACCATTATTTCCATTATTTTGTTGATCAAAAGTTTCATCAAATTGTTCAGAATCTCCAAATACATCTGGTAATAAAAAATTTAATAATGCCCATAATTCATGTAAATTATTTTGTAATGGAGTACCAGTAATTAATAATCTATTTCTTGAATAAAATAATCTTATAATTTGTGATAAAGAACTTTGTTCATTTTTAATACGATGAGCTTCATCAACTATTATATATTCCCATTTAAATTTTTTTAATGCAGACTTTTCTCTTAATACCATTTCAAATGAAGTTATTAATACATCAAATTGTGCAGTATATAATTTATCTCTTATTATTTCATTTCTAGATTCTTTATCACCTTGTAATACAACAACATTTACATCTGGAGTCCATTTTGCAAATTCTCTTCTCCAGTTATCTAATGTTGATTTCGGTACAATAATAATGAAAGGTCCATCAATATTTTTTATATATCTTAAATAACCTAAAAATGAAATTGTTTGTAAAGTTTTTCCTAAACCCATTTCATCAGCTAATATTCCTGATAATCTATTTTCATATAATGATATTAACCAATTTAAACCTTGGATTTGATATTCTCTTAATTTCCCTTCTTTTACATATGAAGGAGATTCTGTTATTATAGTATGTTGATTTTCTTCATCATCTTGATGTTCTTCATCTTGTAATAATTCTGCATCTTCTTCTTTTTCAGTTTTTCTTCCTCTTCTTCCCTTTTGTTTCTTGGTATTCTTTTTAGATTCTTTAAATGATCTTTGATTATCAATTTCTCTTACTCTTCTTTTAAATTCAGGATCTTTTGAAGCATTTAAATCAATAAATTTTCTAAATACAGAACTTAAACCTAATAAATATTGAAATCTTTTTGTTGCATCATCTTTATCATTTTTATATTCATGTTTTGCATCTACTTTTAGTAAAAATCGATTTATCCTTTCTTGAGAAGATTCTTCTTTTTTTGTATTATTGGTTTCTGTTAGATTATTCCCATTTGTTTGTGTCATTTGTGTTTAGAGTGTAGTTGATGATCTATTGGATAAATGATGTATGATGTTTAGTGTAATAAATGCTATGTAATGACGCGACTTGATGAATTGATTGATGTGATTTGATGTGATGTATTTGGTGGTTGCCAAAATTAATTTATATTAAAAACTGATTGGCAAAAAAAGAGTGGTGTTGATATTAAAAATTTAATTTCATTTTCAATTTTTAAAATAATAATAATTTACTTTACATTAATTAACTACTTAAATTAGAGTTGCAAAATCAAAGATAAAACACGTAAAAATCGATGAAACAAACACCTAAAGAGTAATTGTTTTAGATATACCCTAGTTAGCATTATCCATTGACAATCTCATCAAATTCTTACACTCAGTTCATTTGTGCAAAGAAGTTAACGTATATATGTCAAGACAGAAAAAATCACTGATCATTAGATTATAATTTTCAATGGGAAAAAAAAAGATTGTTTTTTTATGGACTAAGTAGACAATTATTGTTTTTTTAATGTTGATTTTGGTAGCACAAGATACTCTAATTAATGTAGGGTATTTATTACACAAAACTGAATATATATATAAACTAATACGAAACTATTTTCGTCTCTTAATTTTGTTTCATTCAAAAATTAAGAATTTTCTCGCTTTAAAACACAATACAATAAATTTAATCTAACATACAATTATTATATCAGGACATATGAAATTTTGGTTAAACTGTTTATAATTAAACACAACAATTACAAATATAACACATTTAACCACTCAAATTAATCAGAAAAACTCACTCTATTGAATCAATGTACTTTTATTGTAGTATTAGACCATGTTTACAAAACTGATCAAGACCTGATAATTAGCTTGTTGTGATTTAAAACTTCATAAAGATTAAATCCACCTGTATGACATTTCGAAGCACTTCTGCAGCTATGTCTAGACGAACATGAGTTTTATGAGACTGTCAACTGCGAAAGAGACTGCTCTTTAGCAACACCTCAAAGTGTAACACTCAAAATCCAAGCTATGCGCCCGTGAGAAACTGAAATTCATAATTTTTTCCAACTTACCCGATGTTTACCTACATTGAACGAACATCAGCTATCCAAAAAAGTATTATAAAATTTAAAATCGAATAATTACAATTAATTTTAGCCTAATCTGGAAGAAACTAATCCTGATTTTTTTTTTGGTAGAGGGAAATGGTCGCTATAATGGAAGTTAAAGAAGTATTCGATTTGGACAACTTCCTGTGTCCACATGACGCCAGGGTTCCCTGAATCTCTGAAAAACCCTACTTAAAAATTTTCAATTCTAAAAAATGTGGTTCAGCTCTACCTTGATCCAATTTATAGGCAAAATTGGAATGACATTAATATTGGGTAAAGTTTCCAAATCTTAATACTGGAGGAGTTGTTGGTTTAATTGTTCGAGATCAATTTGTGTGCAAATTACAACAACGAAATAACGATCGATGCTTTTTGGGGTCTTGAAAATGAATTATTTTGAAACTCTTTTAATGTAATTCAAAAGTACCATATATTAAATATTCCTAATATTACAAACAGTATTTGTTTTGGACTCTACATCGAAAGTCAAAGATGTAGGTAACTACAGAAGCTTTTAAATTGTGTACATATATCTGGACAATTTCCATCCAATGTATGTTTTTTGGGACAATTTGATTAAAATTTTTGAATCAACATTATGATCTAACACCTTAATATAATTAATAAATTCATAACATTTCAAATGTATTTTGTATGAGAAATATTTCACCGAATGTTATATTTAAAGATGTACTGAAGTTTGAGTTCAGAAATACTGCTTTTTGGTTGGAAAAGAAAGTCCCATTCATCCTACAATTTGGTCTCTTTAATTGCACCATTTTTTTTATTTTCTAAAAGTCTACAATTGATATAGAGATATGTGAGTAGCTTATTGGATTTTGAACATTCATTGTATGGGAGACAATCAACATTAAATAAATTGAGAAAGTCGAATTGAATTTGGGATTAACTACAGATGTTCAAATTCCGATTTAATTGGCTGCAAACAAAAAAAATTCAATAAACTCAACAATTGATTTCGGAAGTAGCAAATGTAAAAGACAAGGGTCTGTGGTGAAAATTGAACGAAAAATCGCCGTCTATTAATTTTTACCTTTTGAAACAACCTCTCTATTTATTTACAAATTCTATTTAGCGAAGAATAAATTCAATGTCGACCACGATAAAAAATTGGTCGACGATAAAAAATCCAACTTTAGCTGCTGCAGAACTTATTGCATTTGAATGTACAATTTTAATCAATTAGTCGATAATTCTCCAATCAATTTCACTTTCATCATGTTCAACTAACCAATTATTACATTTTTTAAAAACATTCAGTTCAAAAAATCCACGTCTTGCACTCAAAGGAGATGGATGAACAGTCTTTAATACTAAAAATTTATCATCTCTATCATCATTATTCTTCATCAATTTAATAAATGGTTCAATAGATTTTTGAGCAGGTGATCCCCATGCCATTATAACAAATCCATTTTTTTCATTTTCTAAATAATATTTAATAACTAATTCAATACATTTTTCAGTAAATTTTTCCCAACCTTTATTTTTATGACTATTTGCTTTATGTGCTTCAACAGTTAATATAGTATTTAATAATAATACACCTTGTTTACTCCATTTAGTTAAATTTCCACCACCTGGTATACCTAATGCTGATAATTCTTTAAAATTAGGTATTTTAAAACCAGGATAATCAATAGCTAATGTCTTGTAAATATTAATTAATGAAGGTGGCGGTCTATTTGGTTCTAATACTGAAAATGCCAAACCATGAGCTTGATTATGATTATGATATGGATCTTGACCTAATATTAAACATTTTATTTTATAAACTGGTGTTAAATTAGACCAAGAATAAATATTTTGAGTTTTTGGGAATATAGTCTTGGTTGAAGATTGTGATTTTAAAAATGATTTTAAATTTAGGAAGTATGGTTTTGTTAATTCTTTATGTATTAATGCCAACCATGTTATATTTAATGTGTTTATTTCTAATTGAAGTAACGATTTTTGCTCTTCTGTTAGACTATTTATCCAATTTGATTTATTAAACCCTAGTTTTTCACAAAACTCTATGTCATTTGGATCATCAACTGTTGGTGTATTTGTTTCAGTCGAGTTTGTTGAAGTATCAATTGATTCTTCAATCTTATTTGTACCAGCTAATTCATTTTCTTTACCAGTCTGATTTTCTAGCTTTTGTTTCTTTGTTTCAAGTGTTTCAATATCAAGGTAGGCTGTATTCGAGGTTCTTTTTATCATATCATTGGTGTAGTTTTATGTAATTTAGAAGAACTACAAAAAGTTTTGAAAATTTCACAAAAATAGACGTGTTTCAAAATTTAAACAGACTCGATTTACAACCAAAGAATAAGTGAGTACATCAAATCGTTTAATAAGTCTATAAAGTAATATGACTATTAGTCTATAAATCATCAAGGGTTAAAAAAGTATAGTCAATGGATAAGGATATCCACCATCTTTTCTCAACACTATACTAGTCAAACAACTAAACAAGATATATATCACCATAGAATTCAAAATAATTAACCAAATTCTTAATTTTTCATTTTGAAATTTTGAATTTTCATTAATTTGATATTCTCCTAATTTAATTAAACTTATAAAGAATAGTAGTAATCCTAAATAATTTGCACCAATTATAAAAATTTCAATACCATATTGATAATGAGTTCCTCCACTTATATAAACTAAAGAATTATCATTATTATTTTTAGTTAATAATGGAACTTTATTTTGTATTGTAAATTGATAACCAGATATAAATAAAATTATAAGTAAAATTGATATTATTGAAACTATAGTTTTTTTTTGAGTTGATGTTATAAATGATGGTCCCTTTTTTTTAATCAATATGATTACTGAAAAAGTAACTAAAAAAGTCTTGAAAAATCTTGATAATTGCTGATCATTAGTCTGTTGTTGTTGTTGAATTATAACATTTTTTGATAAATGTTCATTTAAAAACTCATTTAATGCATTTATTTGTTGATCTTCAGATAATGGAGGTGGATTTAATTCATAATGAGGATCATTTAAAATTGAATTAGATTCAGGATTAGCATTAAATTTTGGAGGTATTAGCCAAATATGAGGTATAGTTGTTAATTTTAATTCACCAAATATTTTTGAATTTGAAAAATCTTTTAAATTAATTACAATAAATATTAAATCCTTATATAGTATATAATTTTCATTATACCATATATTTGAAATTTTATTTATAATTGGTGATAGCACTGCACATAATTGACATTCATGTTTTGGATTTGATGATGTTAAATATAATAATGTATAAAATGGTCTTGGATTTATTGAATTTATAATTGATAAATCTCCATTATGTATTTGTATTACGTGATTCTTCGAGTTTGTGATCAATTCTTCTAGTTCACATAGATTGTCTGCTAATGTGTATGATACTAGGTTCGCGAGTAGTAGAATTACAATTGATATAAGTTTCATTTAATTGATGTTGTCTTTAAACTTTTATAACGGTTGATATTGATTGAAAAATCAAATTCTCATGTTTGAGTATGCAATGCGAACTAAATATAAATACGAGTTTCAGTAATAAATAATTCTATTAATTAATGCTATAAATCATACAAGTACATACTCCAACACATAATCTCTCCATCTACTCATCTATTACAAAATCTTCTTCTTCATCTTTATTAATTATTAAAAATCCTGTTGCTACAATGATTGCTCCAAATATATATAATAAATTTAAATCAAAACCTTTTAATACCCAATCACCAATCATTGCTAAAGGTATAGTCATTGATAATCCAACAGTAACAGTTAATGGGGAAGTTAATAAGACAGCATTACACCAACAAAAATCACTTATGAAAGTAATACTTGCATTTACAATTAAAAAAATTGACATAATTTTTTCAGAAGGTAATTGAAATTTTTCAATATTTGTAAAATGTAAAATAATTAAAATTGGCCAAAATCCAATAAGACAAATTAATCCAACAAATCCAAAAAATAAATGAGTATTTAAATTTCTTTCCTTTTTGGAGTTAGGTATTGAAATTTTAAATTTTAATAATATTGTATAGATACCATAAATTAATGCTCCTGATAAAGCTAATAAATTACCCCATAAAATTAATAAAGGTGAAAAATGTTTCCCACCATTATTTGGATTTGATTCAGATGTATCTGCTTTTGTTACTATTAATACTCCAGAAAAACTTAACAAAATTCCCATTATTTTATTTTGATTAATTTTTTCAACTGATACTAAATAACCAATAATTAATGTAAAAAATGAAGAAGTTGATGATAATATAGTTTGTGATGCAACTGATGTATAAGATAATGAAGCATTAGTTACTAAATTTGCCAGAAACCATAATATTATAAATTGTACAGATAATTGAAAAGTTTCATAAATATTAATATCTAATGAATTATTTAATTCTTCATCATTTGTTATTACCGTGTTATTTTCTTCAATTGATGAAGCAGTATTAGCTAAATTATCATCAGATCCATAATTTCTAATTAATCCTTCTTCATTTTTATTTGCAGGTAGTTTACTATATTCATAATCATTTTTAAATTTTTTTAAAAAATTTGTTATATTTAATTTTTTAATTTTTAAATATGGTATAATATATAATGTAAAACAACTTGTATTTATCCATGTTATAAAAAATGGTTTTCTATATGAATTATCTTCAACCATTTCATTTACTAAAAAACTTGATGATACCCATAGTATTACAACTGCTGATAAATTAATTAAACCTAAAAGCCATTTTTGACGTGAATGTAATGATGAATCAGGAATGAAAAATGCTTGTATATATCGTATTATACTTAGCCTTGTGTTTGATAATGTTGACATGAATTAAGGAGTGAGTAGCAAAGAATTAAGTGTTATGAGTAATACTAAGTTTGTAAGTATAATGATGTTTTAGCCTATCGTAATAAGGTTGTTTGTTATCTAAAGATTCTAAATCAATTTTTTTTTTCCTGATGTCACAAAATTGAATTATTCGACTTTTTTTTTTTCACCACAGTTCATAATTTATGTAAGTTTAATAAGGACGTGTTTCAGAATTTCAACTTAAATAATGCCACCGAAAGTGTATGTAATTCCAGTCAAAGAACCGACCCATTTTATATGTTGATCAACTTCTAACCTTAATTAGCAAAACACCAAAAACACCGAAAGTGAAAGTGGAACAACCTTTCAAATATGAAAGAAATTTAAATAGTAAATTTAAATTTGGAGCTCATGTTAATATATCAGGTGGAATTTATAAATCAGTAACAAATGCAATGAATATAGGAGCAAATTCTTTTGCATTATTTTTAAAATCTCCAAGAAAATGGGTTTCATCAGATTTAAAACCAGAAGATATAAAAAAATTTAAAGATCTTTGTAATTTACATAATTATAATTCAAGAACTGATATTTTACCTCATGGATCATATTTAATTAATTTAGGAAATCCTGATCCTGAAAAAGAAGCTAAAGCATATGAATCATTTTTAGATGATTTAAAGAGATGTGAATTATTAAATATTGGATTATATAATTTTCATCCTGGTTCAAGTTTAGATAGTGATCATAAAGATTCCTTGAAGAGGTTAGCAAAAAACATTAATAATGCAATTGATGAAACTGAATTTGTTAAAGTTGTTATTGAAAATATGGCAGGTCATGGTAATATTATTGGATCTGATTTACAAGATATAAAAGATGTTATAGATATGATTGAAAATAAATCAAGAATTGGTGTTTGTTTAGATACTTGTCATTCATTTGCCGCGGGGTATGATATAACTGATGAAACAAAATTACTTGAATTTTTAGATAAATTTGAGAAATTAATAGGTCCAGAATATTTAAGTGCAATACATTTAAATGATTCAAAAGCTCCATTAGGTGCAAATAGAGATTTACATCAAAGATTAGGACAAGGATTTTTAGGACTTGATGTATTTAGAGCAATATCAAATTGTGAAAGGCTAAAAGGTATACCGATAGTTTTAGAAACACCAGTTAATGATGATGATGATGATATATATGGAGAAGAAATTAATTTATTAGAATGGATGGAAGATTTATCAATAGATGATCCTAAATATATAGACCGAAAAGAAGAATTATCTAAATTAGGTGAAAAAGAAAGAGCTGAACATTTAAAGAAATTTGAAACTAAGAGTAACAAAAAGAAAGCAAAAGAGGAAAAAGACCAAGCTGATGTGACAAAATTGGTCAAGAAGAGGAAAACAAAGAAATAGTATTCTTTTTAACATATCGTGTTTATATAATTAATATCCGATTTATAGACTTGAATACACAGTGTAATGCCTTACGAATAAATTAATCAGTCGAATACAATTGGTAGCGACTTTTCTTAATTTTAGTTTTCAATTGATTCAAAAAACAAAAGTTCTTGATAATTCAATTTTATCATTTAAAATTTCCATCAAAGTCAAAGAATCAATCAATTAACATGTTTGGTGGTTCATCTTCGACATTTGGGAATTTTGGCTCCAACAATAACACCAATAACACAAGTTCACCATTTGGAGGAGGCACAAACACCAACACAAATACATCTGCATCTCCTTTTGGATCAAGTAATACAAATACAGGAGGTGGATTATTTGGTGGTAATACGAATACTACTAATCCTACATCTACTTTTGGTTCAAGTAATTTATTTGGAGGAAGTAATAATGCAACATCAGGTCTGGCATTTGGAGCAAGTAATACCAATACTACAGGCAGTGGTGGACTATTTGGTTCAAATAACCCAACAACAAATACAACAGCATCACCATTTGGACAACCTGCACAACAACAGCAACAAGGAACGTCATTATTTGGAGGAACTGGTAATACTGGAACATCTGGATTTGGGTCATCTTCATCTGGTGGAGGTATATTTGGAGCTAAACCGGCTACTTCTACTGGTTTTGGATTTGGATCACCAGCTCAAACTAATACATCACCATTTGGTTCATCAACAACAAACGCGTTTGGTGCAGCATCAACAGATTCAAATGTAAATGAAGGAACAGCTGTTAAACCATTTACTCCATTTTCAGAAAAAGATTCAGCAAATATTAATAATGTTTTCCAGAATATTTGTTGTATGCCAGAATATAAAAATTTTTCATTTGAAGAATTAAGATTAAAAGATTATGAACAAGGAAGAAGATATCCACCCGCTGGAGCTACTGGAGCTACTGGAACTGGATTTGGTACTTCTTCAACCGGAGGTTTTGGTTTTGGACAGAGTCAACCGCAACAACAACAACAATCCGGTGGATTATTTGGATCTCAAACTAACACGTCTCCATTTGGAACCTCATCAGCAAACACCGGATCCGCTTTCGGTTCAGGTTTTGGTAAACCTGCTGCATCACCATTTGGTTCAAATACTCAGACATCAACTGGATTTGGTTCAACTCAACAACAACAGTCATCACCTTTTGGTTCAAGTTCTAATAACTTATTTGGAGCTAACAAACCGGCCAGTAATACCAGTGGTGGTTTATTTGGCTCTTCAAATACTAATACTGCATTTGGTCAACAGAAACCTTCAGGATTTGGGACCGGAACTACTGGTGGATTTGGTTCATCAAACACTAATGCTTTCGGTCAGTCAGGCTCGTCACCATTTGGACAAAGTAATGCTCAACAGCAACAAGGAGGTGGATTATTTGGCTCATCTAATACAAGTAATGCATTTGGTCAAGGTAATACTAGCGGAGGTTTTGGACAATCAAATACTGGAACTAATGCTTTTGGATCAAACAATAGTGGTGGTGGATTATTCGGTGGTGGTCAACAACAAAATACAGGGTTTGGAGCTAAACCATCAACAGGATTTGGCTCAACAACAGGAGGAGGACTATTTGGACAACAAAATCAAAATCAACAACAACAGCCAGGAGGTTTATTTGGAGGCAATCAACAGAATCAACAATCAGGCGGTTTATTTGGTTCAAAACCTGCTACTTCAACTGGAGGTGGATTATTTGGGGGCAATACCCAACAATCAAACACTGGTGGAGGTTTATTTGGTGGTAATACTCAACAATCCAACACGTCAGGTGGATTATTTGGCTCCAAACCAGCAGCTTCAAGTGGTGGATTATTTGGAGGTAATCAACAAAATCAACAGTCTGGTGGATTATTTGGTGCAAAACCGTCAGCACCATCAGGAGGAGGTTTGTTTGGTGGTAACACTCAACAATCAAATACAGGTGGAGGATTATTTGGAAGTTCTAATCAACAAACTAATAATGCATTTGGTGGTTCCTCAAACACTGGTGGTGGTTTATTTGGGTCTAAACCTGCAGAAACTAGTGGTGGTCTATTTGGAGGTAATACAAACCAACAATCTAACCCCGGAGGCTTATTTGGAGGTAACAACAACCAACAATCAAACACAGGAGGTCTTTTTGGTTCATCTCAACAATCTGGTGGAGGATTATTTGGTAATTCACAACAGAATCAACAACAAAATCAATCTTCACAACCACTGTTTTTACAAAAGACACAACAACAACAAACTCAACCATTGGCTAATATCAATTCTCAAGATCCATATGGTCAAAATCCATTATTTCAATCCATCACTGGAAATCCTCAACAACAACAGCAACAGCAACCTTATAGTTTGAAACCACAAGCTCGAGTATTAAATAATTCCAAAAATAAAAAACCTGTAACTTTAGGTAGTACATCACAAAGAATTACACCATTATTCAAAATAAATGTATTACCAGCTAAAAAACCAATTGAAGAAATTCAAGATGAAACTTTTAAAACAAAATCAAATAAATTATTTTCATCAATTACAGATTCTGCAATAATTACATCAGATATTTTTAAACCAAATAATAATTTTAAAAAATTAGTTATGTCAAAATCAAATGATGAAACTTCAAATAATAATTTATTAAATGATTCTCAAGATAATGAAACAAGACAAGTATCTTTCAATATAAATAAAGGAATTAATGATAAAAAAGATGAAAAGATTGAAGAAATAAAAGAAGTAAAAGAAACCAAAAAAGATGGTGAAATTTCAAAAACCACAACAATTGTTAAAGAAACAACAACAAAGAATGATGAAAAGAGTACAGACACCGATGATGAAACAAATTCAGAAGGTTATTACACAATTCCATCAATAAAAGAATTAAAATCATATCCATTAACAAAATTAAAATCAATATCAAATTTTATAATTGGACGTAAAAATTATGGTAAAATAGAATTTTTACAACCAATAGATTTATCAACTTATTTAAATTTAAATGAATTATTTAATTTAGTTGAATTTGAAAATAAATCATGTTTAGTTTATCCAGATGATGAATTTAAACCCCAAAAGGGAGAAGGTTTAAATATACCAGCAAAAATTACATTAGATAATTGTTGGCCAAAACATTTAATTGATAAATTACCAATATTAGATTCAAAAAATTCAAAATTGATCAAAAAACATATTGAAAATTTAAAAACTTTAGAAGGTATGGAATTTATTAGTTATAATGCTGAAAATGGTCAATGGACTTTTAAAGTTGAAGAAGTGTAATTTAATTAACATATACGTGTGTTCAAAAAAAAAATACGATATTGTATAAGCATTGTGTAGTAATATACTTAATTTAGTTTATTTGGTAAAATTACGATTATTGTACCTCTGATATCGATCATTTGATCATAAAATGAAATTTGTATCCTTTATACCCTTTGTATTATCAAAAAACTCATCAAATTGGTTAGAATTTTTTTATGACCAGTTGATTGAAAGAATTAAATTCTTAGAATCAGAACAAAAGTTCTCCAAAAATTACTACAATATTGCGTGGTAATTTCCAACATTCAGAATTGCTTCTAAAACGTCTTGATATCAATTTAGTTGATACATTGTACTGAGAAATGATGTATCTATTGAGATTGCTCTTTCAATGTCTTTTGGAAAAAATTTTATCTTTTAAAAAAGGTAATAATTCAAACTTTTTACTAACTTTATAAGTCTCAAAACCTTTATTATCAATAGTGTCTTTAAGAAATTATTTTTGACTGCAACAAAATTAAATCTTTAACTCTAATATAAGAAATAGCTTTAAAAAAGCTATTTGTAAAAATACAAGTGCTGTTATACAATTTTTGACTTTCGTTGACATGTTATCTAGTCAATTAAATTTCCTTAGATCGAAATACACTTGCATTGTCTAAAACTAGTTCGGAGATGTTTCCGTAACATACTAATAAACATTTAATTGCATATAAAACAATTCCAGAATCTGGTGTGGCTGCTGGAAATGCTATGACATAATTTTTTGTAGAATCGATACAATTTAAGATGGCTGCTTTTGGATCGTCTGATGTTGGTGGGGGATGAAAGAAATCCATATGCCATTCTCTAAATGCTATTGGATAGTTCACAATTGGTGTTAATTCTCTAGTGACATCTTTATAGGTTTGAAATTGGGTACATTTTGAGCACTTTGACTATATCGTTACAAATTCTTGAATGATCCGGATGCCAGACTCTTGTGGTAGCTAGATCGTTGGTGATTCTAGCTGAAGCGTGATGTTTATCATGGATCTTGGCTGCAATGCTGATGAATACGTCTCTGTTGGAGCATCTTGATGGTTTTGAATGTACAACAACATATAATTGCTCATCTTCAACAAAAAATTTATCCATCTCTGCTTAGATCTAAAATTTGAGTTTTAATTTGTTCCAGATCTTTCTCATTTAATAATTTTAATGAATTCAACGTTAAAGCAGTGATGCTCTTATTTCGATGAGCTTGTTGCTTTTGGTGAGATAACCTTAAGACGAACGAATTAGCGAATATCAAAAATGAGGATGTAGCTAGGTTATCTCATCAAAAGCAACAAGCGTTCGTCTTAAGGTTTGATTCATGGATAACATCACGCTTCTGCAAGAATCACCGACTATTTAGCTACCTGTCGGTTTGGCAATTGCTGTTATTGGTATTTATTACTTGAATTTAGTAGATTGATTCAATACCCTTGTATCCTCGTTGAATCCAAATAATACACGAAATGTAAATGATAATACTAATAGTTTGATTCTCTAAATAAGAGCATAGAAAAATCTATGGAACTTGTTTTATTTGTTCGACGAATCTCATCACTGTCGTAAAGTCAATGTCATAAGAATTGACGAACTTGTATAATGCCAAACTTTATAACCCCCAATTACCCCTATAATAATATTAAAGTTATTTAATTCCAACGCGTAATTGAAAAACAGGGGATTAGATTAACTACTCGTTGACATAACTAATTGTGAATTAATACTGAGGTCACCTATTTCTTTTTAAACGTGTATAGTGTTTTATTTTATCTCCAATTGAATATTGACCAATGAAAATTAAATGAAAAGGTGTGGTGTGAATATCAATTAAATGAGTCATGAATTTTATACTTTCTGAGTAGGCTGTATCATAGTTTAATCCTTGGGTTAAATTTAAACTTTTTTTAATGACATATAACCTGGTAATAAGTAATTGGTTGGTTAGTTATAATATTTTAATTGTTTTAACTTATTAGGGGTAAATTCCAAATTCAGTTTAAAAATTGAAATAAAAAATATACCCACCAACACCACGTTTAAAATCTTCAAATTGCGAATTAACAACATGCAAATGATTTAGTTAGCTTACATTGTTTTCAAATTGTTCCTTGTGTGTTTTTAATCGACTTTATTCATCTTGTCATATCTTCAGGTATATCTTCACAGTATAATTATACCAGAATAAAGTAATTAACAACGAAGTTAAGTTAATTGATGAAAAGTAACTGACTACTTACATAAGGTATTACGTAATAAGCTATTGTTGACTCAATTAACATACTTAAGTTTCACATTCAAAAATAACAAAAATTAAAAAGCAATCATAAGAATAATATACGAACTAATATGTTTGTTACGAACAAGTATACACACATGATTTTATAGTTTTAAAGTAAGTTGAGTAAGTAAATAATATAATTCTCGAGAATAAATTAGAATATTTCCTTTAAAAGTGAAACAACTAGAATACCTACTGACATTATTCACTTTATTACGTGATTAAATTTAGTCGACTTGTTGAATTAATTAATTTCCTTACTTTTCTACCTTCTTTACTTGATCATTCGTTCAATTTTTATTAGAATTCTACTAACAAGTCTTATCACACTTTCTTAACTTTCAAATTTAAACTTTAATGTAAGACATACCTCATTAATACGTGCATTTTTTTAAAATTAAAGTTGAAAGCTTGTAATTTTGATTTTTGATTTATAATTTGATTAATCTTTTTTATCTAATTGTTACTTCTCAACGTGAAGTCATTCAAGTTTATTATTATTAACCCTCTTCCTCAATAGGTAGATTAGTACTAAGTTACTCTAATTTAAGAGTTAATTGGTTCTAAGTATTACTTATAATTATTCCGGTTAAATTAATAATTTTTCAAATTTTTCAATTTGATTAAAGCAGAAAAAATAAAAAATTAAATTTATAAACACACAACAATAATTTGAAATTTTAAAATTATACCAACTAAAATTTAGTATATTTCTTTCTACAATAACTTACAACCAACTAGATTCACTAATTACATTACATTACAATTTATAATCATGACTTCAAATTCACCTACTTCCTTATCAAATATTATAAATCACGTTATAGATTCAACTACAACTAATTCTAACACTACTAATAAAATTAATAGTCATAACATAACCACTAATAATTATTCAACCAATAATCAATACTCACAACAACAACAGCCAAATACCATGTCATCTAATCACCATAGTAATACAATCAATTCAATATCAAATTTAATCAATAATCCAATAAATAATGATAATTCAACTAATAAAAATTATAATACCCCACAATTACCATTTAATCCACAACAACCACACCAACAAAATTTGAATTATAATCAAACAAATATACCACATATAAAACATGAGAATATACAATATTTAAATGATAATAACCAGTATAATAATCAAAAACAATCTAGTGATAATATATCACCACCATCTCCATCTTTTTCAACTGAAGATATGGATGGAATAAACGGAAATAATAATAATGGTAGTACAAATAAAAAATCAATTTTATCAACAAGTTCACCAGAAGGTATACAAGTAGCTTCTAAAATAACTCCAACAAGATTAGCTAATTTATTAATTAGAAAAGGTCCTTTACCAATAAGACATATAACATCACAATTATCTTTGGAAGTATCATCATTTGAATTATTAAGTTTAAGTAAACAAAGAAGATTAATAATGGCAGCAATGGAACAATTAGATCCTATTAATAATGTTGTATTTGAAAAAATTGGTTGGGGTCAATGGGCAGTTAGAAAAGTTGATAGTGATTATATTGTAACAGAAGGTACAGAACAACAACAACAACAAAATAGTCAATTAATAAATCAATCTCCCAATAATTTAGAAGATAGTAAGAAATTAAATAAAAAATCTCATTCTCATTCTTTTGGAGAAGGTGATAAAAAATTGATAAACATAAATGATTTAAGAAACCAAACAAATTTAAAATTAGGTTGGTCTAAGAAGAAAAATAGTAACACTAATACTATCACAAATAGTAATTTAGATAAATTTAGAAGAGAATCAATAACAAATCAAGTTAAAAATTTACATAATTTAAAATTACCAAATGAAAGTATTGATAATGCTATAGCATCAGATAGTGATGAAGATTCAGATGCAGAAGATGAAAATTTATTAGGTGATGAAAGACAAAGATTAAGTGAACAAATGGATCAAGATGAAAGATCTTATTCTGAAGATGATGAAGAAGAGGAAGAAGAAGATGACGACGACGACAATGAAGAAGAAGATGATGAAGAAATTAAAGAAGAAAATGAAGATGAAGAAATGTTTACATTTGATGAATCAATACGATCTACTCAAATACAGAACAAAATCAAATCAAAAAGATCTTCTCCTCCAATAAAATTTGCCAAGAGAGTACCTACAAAATTTAGTCCACCACCAATATCATCATCATCATCATATGATTCAAAAACAAGAAGAAGAAAATCAAGTTCATCAGTTGCATCAAATTCAATATCAAAACCTTCAACATTAAGAAATTATCATTATTATCATCATCCTTCATCACAACATATATTATTAAATCAAACAAGATCAAGATTAAATTCAATTGAAAATTTAGATAATTATTTAAATAATTCAAATTCAAATAGAAATTCAACTGTTTCAATAAATCTGCCACCTCCAGCTATAACTTTTAATAATTATTCGAAAGATGAAATTGGAAGAAATGGATCAAATTCTGCATTAAGTAGTTCTCCAATTAATAATGGCAATAGCACCTCAAATAATAATAATGGAGTTAATAATAATTTACAATCTCAAAATTCAAATTATATTCATAATGAAGATATAGCAAAATCAAATAAAAATAGAAGAAAATCTTCTTTTAATGAATCTCATGTTAGATCAACTTTAAATCAAGAAAGAATTAATTTACAAAATAGCATTACTAGTAATAGCAATGGTAATAAATCAGTTATTGAAGATAGTGATACTGATGAAGAAGATTGGCAAAGTATCGGACCTGAATATTTAAGACAACAAAGATCAATAACAAAAACTTTAGAAAGCAGTAAGAATAATAATGGTAATTTTATATCAAATGAAAATTTAAATAATAATACTTCAAATGATGGTACAAATTCAAATGATGAAGTAAATGAAGATGAAAAATCTGCTGCTTTTGCATTAGTTAATTTAATGTCTGTTTGATAAGATTCTTTTATTTTGGTTTGTGATTTGGTTCTTTTCAGTTCTTATTACAATTCTAGATGAATTGTAAAATTCAATACAATATAACTTTAACAAGAAATTGTTAACAAAATTGAAACATTCATTTTATAATTTGTATAATTTTATAGTGTATTAAATATAATAACCTAATTTACCTTTAGTAATGGCTGGTATGCTTCGTGGGTCTAATTTATATTTCCTAATTGGGATTAAATTGAATGCGTGAATAAATTCTAAAAACACGCGTCGCGTAAAAATTATTTTTTTTTTAAATAAATTTCAAATTATCTTACAAAATCTTTTTACAACACCAATCCCTAACAAGTTTCATTATTTTGTTGTAAAACTTATTCAATTATCAGACTTTCGTTGTTTTCCATCAATTGGTTAAAAATTCATTAATTACATTCGCTTTTCACTACAACTTCATAACAACCTTTCCCAACAATGGCTACTTTAACTACAACAGCAGCTGTTTTACCAACTATATCATTAAAAGTAAACTACAAAGATTGTAAAGAAATTATACGAGATTTTATAGAAAATTTTAAAAGTTTATCAACAATAGATATAGAAGAAGATGAAGATTTAGATATTGATTCAGAAGAAATTCAAATAAATAATTTACATCAAGGTAAATATATGAGAATTTTACAAAAAATTTCAAATAGAGATGAAACAACCTTAAATATAAGTTTAGAAGATTTTAAAAAATTTTTACAAAATTATGATTCTGATACTACATCATTATATCAAGAATCTAGAAATTTATTTAATACAGTTATGACAAATACTTATAGATTTATTGAAATTTTTAGTGAAGTTATTGATAAATTAATCCCCAAACCAACAAAAGAAGTAAGTCATCATGATGATGTATTAGATGTTATATTAAATCAAAGAAAATTAAGAAATGAAAGATTACAACAAGAATCAACTGAAGAATTTAATTCATTAAGAGATGGATTATCACAAGATATTGATGGATTTGAAAATATAAATGATCCAAATGATTTACATTTATTTCCTGCAAAATTAACAAGAAGATATTGTTTATATTTTACTCCTCCTTTGTCAGATCATGATAAATCATTATCTGTAAGACAAACAAAGGGAAAATATGTTGGTCATTATATAACAGTTAGAGGTATAGTAACAAGAGTAAGTGATGTTAAACCAAGTGTTTTAGTTATTGCATATACTTGTGATAAATGTGGTTATGAAATTTTTCAAGATGTAAATTCAAAAGTTTTTACTCCATTAACTGTTTGTAATTCACCAGTTTGTTCAGCTGATAATAATAAAGGTCAATTATTTATGTCAACAAGAGCTTCTAAATTCTCAAGTTTTCAAGAAGTTAAAATTCAAGAAATGTCAAATCAAGTTCCTGTGGGTCATATTCCAAGAACTTTATCAATACATGTAAATGGAACTTTAGTAAGATCAATGAATCCTGGTGATACTATTGATGTAAGTGGTATATTTATGCCTCAACCTTATACTGGTTATAGAGCTTTAAAAGCTGGGCTTTTAACTGAAACTTATTTAGAAGCTCAATATGTTAAACAACATAAAAAGCAATATGAATTAATGGATTTATCAAATACTATAGATTCTAAAATAATGGAATTAAGATATGGTACAATGGATATATATAATAAATTAGCAAAATCTATAGCACCTGAAATTTATGGTCATTTAGATGTTAAAAAAATCTTGTTGCTTTTATTATGTGGTGGTGTAACAAAGGAAATTGGTGATGGTTTAAAAATTAGAGGTGATATAAATGTTTGTCTTATGGGAGATCCTGGTGTTGCTAAATCTCAATTATTAAAATCAATAAATAAAATTGCTCCAAGATCTGTTTATACAACAGGTAGAGGTTCTTCAGGAGTTGGTTTAACAGCAGCAGTAATGAGAGATCCAATTACTGATGAAATGATATTAGAAGGTGGTGCATTAGTATTAGCTGATAATGGTATATGTTGTATTGATGAATTTGATAAAATGGAAGAAACTGATCGTACAGCAATTCATGAAGTTATGGAACAACAAACTATTTCAATATCAAAAGCTGGTATAACAACAACATTAAATGCAAGAACTTCAATATTAGCAGCAGCAAATCCTTTATATGGTAGATATAATACAAAATTATCACCTCATGAAAATATAAATTTACCAGCTGCATTATTATCAAGATTTGATATAATGTTTTTAATATTAGATCAACCAAATCGTGAAAATGATGAAATGTTAGCAAGACATGTAACATATGTTCATATGCATAATAAACAACCAAATATAATAGATAATGAAGATGGAGAAGAAGAATTTGAAGCAATTGATTCAAAAACTATTCGTGAATATATTTCAAAAGCAAGAACTTTTAGACCAATAGTACCAAAAGAAGTTGGAGATTATGTTGTTCAATCATATATAAATATGAGAAAAGAATCTCATAGAAATGAAGGTTCAATAAAAAAATTTAGTCATATTACACCAAGAACTTTATTAGGTATATTAAGATTATCACAAGCATCAGCAAGATTAAAATTTTCAAATATTGTAACTATGGAAGATGTTGATGAAAGTTTAAGATTAATTGAAGTTTCAAAATCTTCTTTATTATCAGATCATGATGATCTTGGGTTAAGAGATGATGAATCCACCACGTCAAAAATTTTTCAAATTATTAGAAATTTATCAATTGATGAATCAACTGGAAATTTAAAGAAAAATATCCCCATGCAGCTTATAAAAGATAGAGTTATTGCAAAAGGTTTTACACAACAACAATTAGATGATTGTATGTTTGAATATGATGGAGTTGGATTATGGCAAATCATTGATAATGGTGAGACTTTAATGTTTACTAATACTGGTGATGATAATGAAGCAAATGTAAACGCAAATTCAAATGGAAATAATATTAGTGATGATAGTGATGATGATATATTCATGGGTTGATTCTATAGTATGAGTTGTATAATATTTCTAAAACATGTATTAATAATTTTTTAATCTACTTTTCTGATAACTTAAGTGCTATTGTCATGAATTGAAAGGATAATATCCAAGGACTAACCTTCTCTTATTCAATCAACATAAAAAGGTTATATGAATCTATATGTGATTCAATTTTTTATTTTGTTCCGTAAATTTAATAATCAACACGTTCCGAGAATTTAAAAAATATTTAATCTGAAAGTATCAGCCGTTCCTTTATCTTTATACCTATATATATAACAAAGCTTAAACAATGCTAATGATATGACAAATTCAAAAGAGCAGAAAATGGAAGATACTAATCAACAAACAACCACAACCACCAACAATAACAAAGAAACAGTTTTAAATCCAACTACAGCATCATTTAATAATCAATTTAAACCAAATTTAAAAATCATAAAATCTAATTTTTTTAAATGGGAAATTATAATAAAAAATTCAGGTTCAACAGCAAGAGATCATTTAGCAAATGAAAGAACTTTATTATCATGGATAAGAACTTCAATTATATTTATTACATTTGGTATTGGGTTTTTACAATTTTATAGATTAGAATCAAAATCAAATTGTATTAATATTTCAGAACCAATATCTCAACAAAATTTAAATGATTTAAATTCTACATCATCATTATATGATAAAAACACTGTAAATTTAATTTCAAAATTAAGTAAACCAATTGCTCCTATATGTGTTATTATGGGGTTTTTAACTTTTTTATTTGGAATATGGAGATATTTAAAATGTCAAATTTATTTAATTGAAGGTTTATTTCCTGCAACAAGATGGTTTTTAATCTTTTTGATATTGATTAATTTAGCGTTATTGATTTTATTATTAATTATTAATTTTAAAGTTATTTTATGAGGAAGACGAAGAATGAATATTTGGGATTAAGATAAGTTGTGTGATAGTTGTTAATTTGAAAATAGTGACAAAATTATCTTGTAAAAAGTTCAGTTAAGACAAAACTCAGGTTAGACAAAACTCAGAACTCAAGTCAGGACTTTGTTTCATGGTCAATCCAATGGAAACGATCCAATAATCGGTATGATTGACTTACATAGTGTGAGATAGAAATTAACAATAGAACAATACTTGGATCACGAAGGCCCATAGCTTAGAGAAGTGAACATGATATACTTCACGACGCTGATTTATCAACCTCATTACAAATTGTTATGATAGTGATGTATCTTCCTTACTACAAATAGCACAATTCCTTCCATGCTTTTAGATTAGGAAAGCCAGACTACGAATCAAATAAACGTTTATTGTATTGTAAAAAAAATAAAGATTAATTCGTTGATGCTGATAAAGAGTGGATGGTCAAATTATCAGTTAAGAAAGTATAGGGACTGATTCCGTCCGTGATAATTACTGCATCACGAGTGCAATTAGTTTAACGTTCTCAAGTAGTTAGTCTCCATAGGATGTTGTAATCAAAACCAGTCTTAGAGATCCAATTATCTCCCAGAATCTTCTTAACCTTGTAGTACATTAACTCTATGTAAATACTTAAGACACGAAAGAACACATTTTTTACACAAAAACGTTTTAGAAAAAATTAGAGTTCAACATAGAAACGAAAAACTCAAACATAATTTTCAATTCATAACAAATCGTTCCAATACGTTAATTGAGTCTTAATTTATCAATGTCAGATTATTCATCACAAACAGTAGCTCAATTAAAGGAAGTATTGAAGGGAAGAGGATTAAGTACAGATGGGAAAAAGGCAGATTTAGTATCTAGATTAATAGAGTCAGATAATTCAAATTCAACCAGCATAGAGGAACCAAAATTACAAGATAGTACAACAACAATATCAACATCAATAGCGGAACCTAGTAATCAATCAACAACTACATCTGCCACAGCAACCACAGAATCCAATCCGAATTCAAATGAATCAACATTAAAAGTAATTCAACCCCAAGAAACAAAGGAAGAAACAAAAGAAGAACCTAAAAAATTAACAGCAGAAGAAAGAAAAGAATTAGCAATAGATTTATTAAAGAAAAAAATATCAAGAGCTGAAAAATTTGGTGATGAAAAAGGAGCAGAAGAAGCTAAAAAGGATTTAAAAAGAGTTGAAAAATTTGGAGTTGAATTAGGTACTTCATTAGCAAGAGAAATTGGATTAGTTGATAAATCTTTAGGTAATAATAATAATGGTAAATTTAATAATAAAAGTTATAATAAATTTAAAGGTGGTAAATTTAACAAGCATCGTGGTTTTAAAAATAGAAAATAAAATAAAAAGACATTATCGATATCATTAGACTTTCTGAATTGTTTTAGTTGAAGACAAGGTATTAAAAAGGTTATTAAAACGTTTCTCCATTTTTGAATCAAAATTTCATGTATCAATAATTCCATTGTATAGCTAGCTTTATATGTAGAAGTTGTATAGATTACGCTCATTCTTTCTTTATGTTTCTCTTTATATAGAATAATTCAATAATATATTCTATTCTTCTCTTCAAGAGTAATTAATCAACATATTCTATTTTTCACTAAAATGAACAATTCATAAGTTAGGTTTAAATTCTTTTAGTTCATGTATCCAAGACTTCAATAAAGTTGTAGATATAAATCGACAACCAATTTCTTGATACAAGATAACAAATTTTTTAAAATACTATTTGATTTATATAACAAAAGGGTCAAATCTATGTAAAACTATAAAATAGGAATTAATCTGTGTCCATTCAATAGTAAATTAATTGAGATTTTTTTTATATAGCACCAAAATGAATTCAAATCACTAGTAGGACCTTGAATTTGAAATTGCTAAGTTGTCTTTTTAGGTTTTAGTATTTTACTTATGCAATCACACTTTTTTTATTACTTTCTTGTTCAACAAGAATGGATTAATAATTTGTCAATATGAAAATATTCAAATATCATAAAGTATACAACCACAATTGTAGTATCAAAAATGTCAATGAAAAGTACAACTAGCCTCCGGGGGTTCTTGGAACATCTACTTTAAAAGTTTATCCCCAAAGATTACAAATAGATGCTATCAGTGCTTGGAACAAATTGGATAATCTTTTCGCAAAAAGCTAATTCCCCAGCTTTATGAGTAACTTTTCCTGGAATAGCTGGTGAAGTAACTCTTCCGAGATTACTATCCAATTTGTTCCAAGCTTTAACTGCATCTAACTCAGTGATATGTACCAAGAGCTCTAAACCATTATATTCCAGAAAGCTGGGTGTAAAAAAACATTTCACTTGCATCGGCTGACCAAGGGGTAGCACTAACCATTTTATCGTCCACATTGGACGAAAATACTTATTTACATATGGGACTCATCAACAAGGATGTAAATAAGTGTCTACACCCATTGTGGACGATAAAACAGCAAATGCTTACACTTTCGTGTAGATATTCAATTCCCTTGAACTAACCATAATTTATTAAAAATTGACTTTTTCATGAGCGAAAATTATCACCACCACCAACAAGTTTAGGAAAATGAATGAACGAGACGCAATCACTTGTGCAGCAAAGTAGTCCTTCCAAACGCCAATTACATTTTATAATGACCTTTTTGGTCTTAATATCATAGTTTTATTTTTAATGATTGAATTTATGAATTCTTGATCTCTAATAACTTTTGATATTAGACTACTTATATGATGAAATTTATTTTTCAAAAAGTCTATGACACAATTTTCTGTGTCGTGTCCAAAAGTTCAACTTTACTACTCAATATAAAAATCTTTAAATTTTAGGAAATATAATTTCTACACTTTTTGGACTACAGAGGGCAATACCATTCAACAAAAGATCTCAAAGCTACAGTATCAAATGAATCAATAGTAATTGGGATTTTAGCTAAAAAGGAACTGATCAATAACTTTTTTTGAAGTGTTACAAATTCCTTACCTCATTATCGCATAATTTTGATCAAGTTAATCGACTTTCCTCAATGATTATTACATGTATTACAGAACACTTTTATTAGTGAAATCAGTCGATTGAGTGTAATACATGTAATAATCATTGAGGAAAGTCGATAAAAATTTAGAATGGTTCTGATGGGTGAGTCTACTGCTTTCACAAATGTTGTATTTGGTTTGAAATCCTTTGTTTATATTGCTAAGGTCTTGCTTTTGGTAAAAGTCGTCACTTAAGATCGTTCTAGGCTATTCGAAGAAATATTTGAGTACCAAATTATTTTCTGGATTATTTCACTTCATAGCGGGTTTTGAAGATCAATTTAACAGGCTGGATGATAAAGTTGGGTTGATTTTCAAGCCTGCTATGGCTTGATCTATCCAGAAAATGAAATAAAATATCAGTTCTGTTTTCATTTCTGATTGTTGGGATCATAATTGGGTAAATCCTATAAGGATCAAAGACCAAATAAAAGTATTCAGTGAAAGGTTGGATGAATATGAAAAAGATACCAAAAAGGATTCTGAAGATCAATTTTGTCCGAACCTTTATATAATCCAACGTTAACTCGGAGTGTGGACCGAAAAATTTGAGCTTAAATTAATTTTGAACTGATGTTATCGATCTTCACAAGATTTTTGCATAATCAATTTGAATTATGGTTGTTTTTTGATTCCTTTTTTGTTTTTCAATTGTGTTCAAAGTCTATGGACTTGATTGTTGAACTTAAAGTATTTTAGTTACCTTCTGTTGTTTCGTTTTCTTTTCATATTATCTATATTCACAATCATGATAAGAGTATAGAAAAAATACAAGATCAACTTTATTATTGTTTTAATTTTTGTACGAAAAGGATGTAGTATGAAACAATCAAACATGAATCAATCAAATTTCAAAAAATAGAAATGGAAATTGAAAAAAGTACTTGTTTCATCATTATTGTGAATAAAAAATTATGACACAAGATCCACCACTTTTTTGATTTCTCATTTCATATCTTTAAAATTTGAGTAACTGAACTAGTGATATTGTTTCATAACCTTAAATTTCAAAACAATATCAGTTATTACGTGATTTGACTTACAATAAAATCTAAAGCCTTGGGTAACGTGAGGATTTGAAAGTACTAAATTTGTAAAAATAGTGGATCTTTGATTTTTTGCAATCTTTTATTTTTGGTCCCATTTTAATTAATTGTCTACAGTATATTTATTTGGTCCCTTATCAAAAAATTGAAAAGCAATATAAAAAGTATTACAACAATGCGAAGAGAAAATAAATCTGAAACTTGAAGCAAGGAAAAAATATATATTAAGTAGATTTAACAAGTATTAATACTAATTAATGCACATTAAGCCAATAATAGAGGTAATTATTATATTAAATTTGCTTCATCAAGTAGAAATTTAAAATATTTCTTTTTTTAAAAGTAGGAGGACCTTGATTTGATATAGATAAATGACTAGAAAATCTTCAATAACAATTCAATATTTTTCTTATCATCATCGAACTTTTGACACATGGTGTTGATTTACTACGAAATTTTTTGCAATCTTGAAATGAAATAATTATATTGCTCACTTTTTTAGTATTGTTCTAATGTCTCAACGATAAGCCATGTCAAGATTAAACTTGTTTCATATTGAATTTAATACCTCAGATTGTGTGTTGATAATTATGCCAATCAATCAAAATGAAACAAGGACAAAAAATGAATTATAAGTGAGAAAGAGAGATACAGTAATAAAGATAGTATTAATATAGGCTTAAAAAAGATAAAAATAGGTTTGTATATTTATGTAAATAAAAGATGAGATTATATAGGGACTTTTTATATAATTTAGTTTACTAACCTTACACATATAAATCTGACACAGCCTTCAAAATATCTAACAAATTTTGCAACAATTTTAATTTAGTGAAACAAAATTTCGAATGATACAAAATTTAGCAAGTAAAAAAATATGGACAATCAATTTGACATTGAAGTATATTAATTTAATTATACAACTTTCTTGTCATTCAATGATATATATGTAGAAGGGTTCAATATAAAACTTCTTACTGCTACACTTATGTCTTATCAATTCGTAAAAATACTGTGTAAATTAATTACATATTTTAATTAATTAATATTAATCATTTAACAAGTAATACTTACTTTCTTCCCCATATTAATGTTTTAGATTTTTTTAATTAAATTTGATTTTAAAAGAAAGTAACCAGAGACATTTAGTATTTACTGTACAGTATATATATTCATCACATCTATGAGTTGTAAGAGCTTCTAAGGACCAACTTTTGTATAATAGAAGTGTTGATACAGCAATAACTAGATATTTTCTTCTTACTTTTAAGTTAATGATTTACGGATTTATAACTTTAATTAAATCCATTCTGTTAATACAATACAAAAATAATAAAATTGATTTCCCCTATTTTTATAATTTGAGATACTGTATATAAGGATATATAAATAAATTGTCAAATTTACACTACCAAATACTTTTCTGATGAGATATCAAGATTATAGAAAGTAAGTAACTTTAAAGTATAAATGTAATATCCTTATTAAGTAAATTGTTGAAGTAGTAGAATGTCATGTGCTCAAACAAAAGCTGATTCAAACCCAGGTGGGTCTACGTTGAAATTATACTCTCTACTCAGAGATTCATTCAAATGCTTATAGTAAATTAATTTTGCTACCGCTGCTTTAAAGGCTGAAAAATATAAATATAAAAAATTTAAGATTGATTACATCACAAAGACACCAAAAATATTTGTAGTAGTAAACAAATATTGTAAATGATGTAGGCGTATAATCTTAATCTTAATCTCCAGCCTAAATATTTTTTCAACAAAGTATATTATATAGTACTAATCATATTCCCATATTGATTTCTTTATCATCTAACATTTCACAACTAACAAGACACTACTCACTTTCAACTATAACATTCTTCATACAATTTGTACTATTTAATTTATAGACTACTATAAACAAAATCTTATCAGTTATTTTCCCTCAGTTAATAGAAAATATAAAGAGACAATTTATTTTTTACAACCAAAAAAAATATTCAAAGTTCATCAATTTTTATTTTTTTACAACCAAATTCATCAAATCATCTAATCATATCATTGAACCAAATCTATATCATCTGGTCAATCGATTTGAGAGACTTCCACTACACTTCATTTCATTACATTTTATAAGTGACATCTTTTTCAAACAAGTTGTTTACATTTCTTTTTTTCTTTTATTTTCAAATTTCATAAACTTGCATTATATTCAACAAACAATTTAATTTATAGCAAAGGGCTATTCTCATTATAGATCAAATCAAATCTTTAGATCAGATCAGATCATCATATATTACAATTGTATCATATCTTTCATACTTTTAGCATAACACTAATATAAGATCTAAATTACAATCTTATACAAAAAGAATCAAATAACAACCGATTCTTCCAATTTAAACACACACACAACACAATAACATGAGAAAAGAATTAAAATATATAATATGGGCTCATGTAGCATTAGTTGTTTATCTTATATATTTATCATTTGATTTAATAACATTATTACATGATGATACTTTTGCTGATGCATTTTTAGATTTTGAATTAAAACCATCATATTCAAAACAAAATAAACCAATAATAATACCAAAAATCATTCATCAAACTTATAAATCTGAAAATATTCCTGAAATTTGGAAACCTGGACAAGAAGCTTGTATAAATTTACATGAAGATTATCAATATATTTTATGGACTGATGAAATGGCAAGAGAATTTATAAGTGAAGAATTTCCTTGGTTTTTGAAAACTTGGGATAATTATAAATATAATATTCAAAGAGCTGATGCTATAAGATATTTTGCTTTATATCATTATGGTGGAGTTTATATTGATTTAGATGATGGTTGTGAAAGAAGATTAGATCCTTTATTAACTGTTCCTGCTTTTGTTAGAAAAACTATTCCAACTGGTATATCAAATGATGTTATGGGAGGAGTACCAAATCATCCATTTTTTTTAAAAGCAATAGAATCTTTAAAAAATTATCAAAGAAATTGGTTAGTTCCTTATATAACTATAATGATATCAACAGGTCCATTATTTTTATCTGTAATATGGAAACAATATAAAAGATGGGGAGTTCCAGAAGCTGGGAAAGTTAGAATATTAATGCCTGAAAATTATAAAGGTTATCAAAATTCATTTTTTGCAATAGCACCAGGATCATCATGGCATATGAGTGATGCAACATTTATAAAAAGTTTAGCAAATCATTTAGTATTAGCAGTAATTGGAGGATTTTGTATTGCTATAACTATATTAGCAATAGAATATTTATTTTATTCATTTATAATATCAAATTTTTTTAAAAAATTTACTGGAAAAATTGGAGGATTTTTTATGTGGATTTTAACTGGAATTTTGAGGTTTTTTAATTTAGATAAATTTATTGACAATTGGAAATTTAAATCATTAGATTCTGGAGATGTTAATGAAAAATTAAATAATGGTAAGGCAAATAAAAATCAAAAAATAAGTCTCATGAAATTTCTTAAAAATTCAAATATAAAAAGAAGATCAAGAAAAGATTCAAATATTCCTATAGAAATTGAATTATTAAATAAATTAAATAATGATGGATTAATAATAACTGATGATGATGAAGAAAGTAATATAAGTATAGATAATGATAACAACCAGAATATAGAGAAACTTTCATTATTGAAAACAGAAGAACATAATATATCATCTACATCTTCTTTAACATCATCATCAGATGAAGATGATGATATTATAGATAATGACATAGAATTCCAACAACAACAAAAACAAATGAAAGACAATAATGATAATAACGATAATAATGAAAAAGAAGGTGGGTATAAATATAATGATAATATTGTATAATATATTTAATAATAACATATTAATTAACAATTTACATACAATAATACGATCTATATTCAATAATGATTTTACCTATCAGCACTTGATTCTAATAATTTAAAATTTTCATTTTTATATCTAATTTCTTCATTTTCTTTTATTTTAATTTTTAATAATTCAGTTAAATAATCAATGTGTTCCATACTTTGATAACATAAATTCAATAATTTTTCAGCATTTATTGGTATACCACCATTTTTACTTAATTGTAAAATTTCTCTATTTTTATTTAATGTAATTGATAAACTTCCATCTCTTAATAGTTCTTCTTGTCCATCTGCATCAAGGATACAAATTTCTTCTGAATAATCTACTTCTTCATTATCTTCATCTTCATCATCTCTTTCTCCTATCTCTTCTCCTTTTATATTCATTTCTTTTGAATTTAAATTAAAAAATGAATAAGTTAAACAAATAGGATTATGTAAAATACTTAACCCCACAGGTTGTCTTTCATTTAAATCATGAATAATCACAGAATCCTGCAGAATTGTTATATCAGGTTTTTTAAAATGATTTAAAGCTAACATTGTAGCAAAACAACCTAAATCAATAAAATTTCCATCAAAATTTAAAAAATTTAAATCAACTAAAATTTCCCAACATTTTTCTCCAGCTATTATACATAAATTTTCTAAATCTATTGAATTTGATTTTCTTATAGATTTTTCAATAATTCTACTTATTAAATTTTCATCTTGTTGTTGAACTTTGGTGGTGTTATTATCAAATTTTAAAGATGATATTGAACTAATTTCATTATTTATTTGAAATATACCTTCAAATGGTCTATCTTCATATGGTTTTGTGATTTTGGCTGAAACTCTAACTGCAACCTTAGATTTTCCCCAACTTACTTCAACATATCCATATTCTTTTGTTGATAGCTGTATTTGAATATCTCTTAATTGATTAAATTTTCTTGATGATAATCTTATACCATTTTTTAATGCTGTATGTAGGAAATTTTTTTCATTACTTGTTATTTCTATCGATCTAGACATTGTTTTGTTTTGTTTGCTTTCTTTAGGTTTGTGTTTGCTTGGTTTAGTTAATTGGTGATATAGAGATTCAATTCAATTCTTCATCTTCTTCTTGCTGCTAAATCTTAAAATAGTTTTACAGCCAATTTTTGTGTAATATTTTTAAACAGATTCACTTTTCAGAGAAAATTAAATAATCGGTGGCCAAAGTAACTTTATCTACTTCATTAAAACTTCAACTATCACTAACTAATCTACAATGTTGTCGAAGTCGGTCTTAACAAAAGTAAGGCTTCCTAATTTGCCTAGAACATTCACATCATTATCATCATTATCAGCTCCAATACCACAACAATCTCTTAATTTTTTTCAAAATAAATCATTACCAACAAATACTATTATAAAATTTGTACCACAACAACAAGCATATGTTATAGAAAGAATGGGTAAATTTCATAGAATTTTACCACCAGGATTATCTATTTTATTTCCCATAATTGATAAAATTAGTTATGTTCAATCATTAAAAGAATCAGCTATTGAAATTCCAACTCAAAGTGCTATAACATCAGATAATGTATCATTAGAATTAGATGGTGTATTATATGTTAAAGTTATTGACCCCTACAAGGCAAGTTATGGAGTTGAAGATTTTCAATTTGCAATAAGTCAATTAGCTCAAACAACAATGAGATCAGAAATTGGTAATATGACATTAGATTCAGTATTAAAAGAAAGACAAACTTTAAATAATAATATTAATCGTGTTATAAATGAAGCTGCAAATGAAAATTGGGGAGTTGAATGTTTGAGATATGAAATTAGAGATATTCATCCCCCCAAAAATGTAGTTGAAGCAATGCATAGACAAGTTAGTGCAGAACGTAGTAAAAGAGCTGAAATCTTGGAGAGTGAAGGTAATAGACAAAGTAAAATAAATATAAGTGAAGGTGATAAACAAAGTATAATATTACAATCTGAAGCAAATAAACAAGAACAAATAAATTTAGCTGAGGGTGAAGCAACAAAAATCAAATTAAAAGCTTTAGCCGTAGCAGAAAGTATAAAAAATATTGCATCTGCTATAGAAAATACACCTGGTGGTAAAAAAGCAGTAAATTTACAAGTTGCTCAAGATTATATAAAAGAATTTGGAAATTTAGCTAAAAAATCAAATACTATTATTATACCTCAAAATATTGGTGATATATCAAGTTTTATGGCTCAAGGTTTATCAATTTATAAAAATTTAAATTTAAATGAAAATTTGACTGAAAATGAGAGTGAAAGTGAGAATTCAAATTCAAATGAAACTTTAAAGTCAATTGAAAATGAAATTAAAAATTAATAATCATGTAAATAATTTAAATTGTATATATCAATGTCATTAAAGAAATAAATGTATTAAGCTTTTTTAAAAAATCCATCTAATGCACCTTTACCAACAGCAACTTTTTTTGATTGATTTTTAGATCCATTTTTTTTCTTATTATTATTCTTGTTTTTATTGTTAATGGTATTAGCAGTTATTGAATTAATTTCATTCATATTATTTTCAATAATTTCTAAATTTTTTTGTTTTTGTTTTAATTCAATTAAATAATTTTCAACTAGATGGAAATCATAATTATAATAATCTATTAACTTTTCTTTCATAAATGGTAAATAAGAATCACATATATAATCAATTGAATAAATTAAAGAATTTTGTTTTATTAAATTTTCATCTATTATATGATTTAATTGAGTTGAATCATTTAATTCTAATATAATTTTTCTCAATATTGTGTTATTGTTTGATGAAGTAAGTATATAATTTTGTAAACTTAAAATTTTGTTATTTATCCATTCAATTGATTTTCTTGAACAATATTTATAAAATAAAGTATCATTTTCTAAAATTTCATCACATATATTATTTAGGTTCTGTTTATATATATCATAATTTATTTCATAAATCCAATCTCCCTCCAAACTCAGTAAAGAATCTCTTATATCTTCAATTGTTTTAAATAAATTATTAAAATTTTCAACATGTCTTTCAAATATTGAAATTAGTAAAAAAGTAAAATTGAAGGCTGATCCAATTATAATATTTGCTGATTGTAAAACTCCTCCACCACCACCACCATTTAGCTGAGGATCTATAGATTCTATAATTATTGATTTTACTGCATCTCCATTTTTTAAAGTTATTGAAGAATTTTCACCTTTTATAATATTTAATTCATATATTTTATTTGATTTTTCATATATTAAATATGATTTAAATTTTGTTAGATCTGATGGAGTAGGTAGATTTATAATTTTATATTCTTGAGTTTGATTGGTGTCTGTTTTTTCTGATTCATTCGCTAGTTTGGGTAGTATTATTACTCTTGTATCTTTGTCTATATTCATTATTATAGTGTTCTTTAGGATTGGTTGCAACTAAAAATAAATTCGTGATATTTTGATACTCTGTTGATAAAAGTCGCTTTTTTATTTTTTCTGTTAAGACGCGTTTTTCATAACCACATTATTTTTTTTTTTTTGACAAAACTATTGGAATCCTCAGTACTACGTGATTATTTCTATCAAGATTTTGATAAAACAAATATCGTTTTAACTGTTTATTAAACTGTTCTATATATCTCTGTTTTACATTTTAGGTGAAGGTTTTTCTTTGGTTTCGCCAAAGTATTCCACTTGGTAGCAATATTTTCGAGCTAAATTCAACTTTCGATTTTTTTGCACCCATTTATTTAACCAAGAGAAACGTTCATGTAATTATATCTAATATTACAGTCATCTACTTTATGTACAAAATCTATATAAAAAAATTAGTTTATTTTATTGTCTAATGTCTTACATTTACTCAATAAACCCAAGAATTAATCAAGTCTCTTATTGCTCCAATTGCAGCCATAATAATCATAATAGATCCAAATATACAAAAACTTAAAGAACTTATAGAAGCAGCTCTTGGATCAATGGTTAATAAATGTGCCGTACCAATAGCCGTTGATGCCACCCCGAAAGTTACTCCCCTGGTCAAATAATCATGTTTTGGAACTCTTAAAACATTAAAAATTGGTTCATATAATAGAACTCCGATTATACCGGATAATATAGTACAAACCAGCATTAAAGAAATCGAACCACCTAACATTTGCATTAATGGAGTACCTAAAGCTAAAGTAACCAGTCTACCAATAAATCCAATTGAAAATTCTGGAGATAAACCTATACCTTTACCAACTAAAGGATAAATAAAAAAACTTAACGCAACTGATAAAATTAAAGTTGGAATTAAAATTGGTGAATTTTTTATAAAATCTTTACGATGAGTATAACAAGGCAAAGATAATGAAACAATTGATACATCCATTAATGAAGATAAAAAATCACCACATCCTGGCCATTGAGGAGTTGAAGTAAAATCATCCTTTGGCATTTTGTTTGATTTTGAATTATTATTCATTGTTTTACCATTAAATAAATTTATATAATTTTTACCAGTTTTATAATATTTTAAATCTTCTAAAAATCCTTTTGGATTATGATGATAAATTAATGAACCAATAAAACAAATAAATAATATTATTGCTGTTGAAGTTAATATGGGATGAGCAAATTTTTTAGTTTTTGGCCATTTTTGAGGTATTAATAATGCTATATAATATGCTATTATGGTTATTCCCATATGATATGGTAATAATGTATGAATTGATTTAATATAATAAAAAGGTAATGATACAATAAATAAAGTTCCATATAATATCCAATCTATATAACTTGTTATAAATATAGTGATTTTTGGAATATTGTCTTCTTTTAAATCAAATTGTTCATATTGTTTAGATATTGTTTTTGTTTCTGGAATTGGTGATGATTTTGATTGTTGTAATGCAGGATATGATTCTCCAACATGATGAGTTTTAGGATATATTGGTTCTGGTTCAGATAATTTTGAAGATTCTTCAAAAGGATTTTCATTAACTGGTAATATTGCTGCTGGAGCAGTTTGTACTGATTTTAAAGATTTGAGACTATGTAAATCTATTGTGGTTATATCATCTCTCATTGTTGTAAATACATTTCCTCTTCCAACTTCATCTATGTCGCTACTATTACTTTCCTTATCACTTCCGCTTCCTTTTTCATCCTTACTCAAGACTTCTTTTTCTTCAACGAATATCCCAGTTTTAGCTAATATAAATTTCAAAAGCTCAATAAAATAAACATCTATAATTATTAATGCAATAAATCCAACAACAAATACTCCTGCAATTTTTAAAACTTCAATAATTGTAATGGGATCAGATAATGGTAAAATAATAAAACTTGGTATAAAAAATACATTAATCCATTTTAATGTAAAATTCATTGAAGGTTTAATTAAAATTAAATAATTTCTTAATATCCAATTTGAACCAATTCTTAATTTTGTTTTAAATTTGGATTCATTTGAAGATTGTTTTAAATCAGTTAATATAGTTAATAAACATAACCAAATTAAATTTATTAATAACCCCAAGACAGATCCAGGAAATTTAATTTTAGCAATATTTGTTAATAAATAATTAAAACCATAAAGAATCATTAATATAAGGATTATACCAATTGGTATTATAACATAATTAAATATTAAATATTTTCTTGAAAACCATACACCGAGACAAATTTGTCGTAGAATTGATTTGATCATTTGACTTGTTAAGCTTTCTTTTTCATTATATAGACTACTTTGACCTGTAGTAGTTTGTGACATATATAATGACCTCGTTATCGGTTAAATCTCTAAATAAAAAGGTTGATAAATAAAATGTTTCATAAATTTAGATTTTTTCCGGGGAAATGCATAAAATTAAGATGTAAGTTTTTCACTGAGATAAGAGATTTGAGATCTAAGATTTCTTTAAAGAGTAATATCCTAGCGTGTTCACGAGAGTAGAGACAGAGCAAGCGAAGCCCAGTAATCAGTGAAGTGACTGAGCTACTACGTAGCAAAATTTGGTAAAATCTGCGATTCATCTTCAAATTAAATCGATCTTCTTCGTTCATTCAAAAATCTATTTAGCTTCACCAGCTTCAATTATTTCCTTAAATTCTTCTTTAGCATATCTTAATCCACAATATCCACAAGTTGAAGCTTTTGGTTTATCTAAATTTATAAATACTTTTGGATGACCTTGTAATGTATCTCCTTTATTTCCATCACATACAGCAATATTACCTTCTTCGTGTGTTAAATACCTTATTGGTTCTTTAGCAATTAAATCAATAGCTGCATAAGGTCTTGGTTGTTCAGCTAAATCTCTTTGGGTAAATCTATAAGGAAATTTTGATATTACATCAATTCTTGGTTCTTGACTTTGTGACCATGTCACATCTCTATTTGGAGCTTGTTGTGCAAATTCATTATTTTGTAAATCTTTTTTATTTAAATGTATAGCTTCTGGTCTTGCTATTGATGCTTTTGAAATTGATGCTGTTGTTTGTTGTGACGGAGTTGTACTTGATGAATTATAACGTATGAATCTTAATGATTTAATTGTATTTCTAGAATTTATCCTGATCATTTTGTAATTTGACTGAATATATGGGATATGTTTTGACTTTGGTGTGACCTATTGACAAGTTTGTATTCAATGATATCACTTTTTTATATGAAAAGATTTGTTTTTCTGATTAATTAATTGGTTTATTATTATGACAGTAAAATTGGTAGCAACATTGTATACGAATATTCATTAACAATGTTAGATTACTCATTAGTTTAGTTTTCAAGTTTTATCATGATTAAGCATTATTATGACCAGCATCTACAAAATTCGAAAAATTCGTCCCTCATAAAAGTCTAGGTAATCATAAATAGGAGATTTGTGGACCAAGTTTGAGAAAAAGATGTTAAAAAAACAAGGCAAAGCATTGAAAGTTACAAGATACTGAATGGACTCAAGCTACTGTTTTATGGAAAACTTCAGGTAGATATCCAAATTAACAAGAACATTTAGCTCATAATGTTCCAAATAAATGTTTCTGGAGCTGATCATGGAATTCAAGATAAAGTATATGAGTTTTACTACGAATTTGAAGTGTTTTGTATTTCACCAAGACACTTATACCTTTTAGTAACGATATACCTTCCTTTGAGTATTCACATCCTTGATCTTCAAATCTGTTAGAGCTGACTGTCCTACAACAAATTATAGTTTGAGGTTCAAAATGTCATAGATGGATATTTATTGAGATGAAAATGAGCTTGAGTTGTAAATTCGGATTCACTTCATGACATCAATTGTTTTCATCTTCTCTTCCAACAGTTTTTATCATCCAGCTCCTTTCAGAGCAGGAAAGCAAGATATTTTTTTAATTTTATCCTTTGTAGAACTGAATTCATGATGTTCAAAGGCACTCGAAAACTATCCATATGTAAATTAAACAGAAAATTGGCATTAAGTGAACTTTTGAGATTATTATAAATGAAGGCAGTCGTTTTGGAATATGTTGATCCGATTTATAAAACGTACGATCAACGTTCTAGCAACTCTAAATGTGAACCATATTTTTTGATTTAAATCTCAGGTTCTGTCGGTTGAATTATGTTAAGGAGTTGTTGAATTAAGTTTTATAAAATGACATGATATTTTCAATATCGGTTATGGTATGAGTTAGCTCCTTGATTTTAAGCTTCAATAAGCGATTCGGTTGGAACGATCTTTGAAAAAGAACAATTTTTCAAAAGCCGTTTATAACCTTTACTACATAATAAAATATTAGAGACATTGCATTTGTGATACTTTAAATATTTAACTCATTTCTCATAACTTCTTAAGCTGTTTCGGTTCTATCTTTAAGCTTTAGTGATATTGGTTTGTAGGATAGCAACATAGTTCCAGGCTCAATGAACATTACCTCATTAGTTTACTAAAACTGCATTAATGATAGACTTAGGATAGTTTGTATATAATGAGATATTTCATGATATATACATTTGAAAAAGAAAAAAAAAAGTTATTCCAAATTATTTCAAATAAAATTAATCCGATTGACATTTTTAGGATTCATAACGTGAAGATTTAAAATTTCAGCTAAAAATGAAATATAAATAACTCTTTTATTCCTTTCAGAATTCAATCCTGAGAAGCATTCAAAAAATCAACTAAACTAATCTATACAAAATGTCACTTACTAAAGAAAATGATCCAACTACTCCTGAAGAAGAACAACGTTTAATTAATTTCAAAAATAAACCAGATTTAACTCAAATCTATAATTTATATGATTTCGAATATGTTGCAAGAAATACAATCCCAAGTACTGCTTGGAATTTTTATAGTACAGGTGCTGATGATGAAATTTCAATGAGAGAAAATCATGCAGCTTTTCATCGTATATTTTTCAAACCAAGAGTTATGGTTGATGTTTCAAGAATTGATTATTCAACAACTTTATTAGGAACTAGAACTTCTGCTCCATTTTATATTAGTGCTACAGGATTTGGTAAATTAGGTCATCCAGATGGTGAATTAAACTTAACAAAAGGTGGAGGAAAAGAAAATATTATTCAAATGATTGGTACATTAGCAAGTATTCCATTTGATGAAATAGCTGATGCAAGAGTTGAAAGTCAAACTCAATGGTATCAATTATATATGAATGCTGATAGAGAATTAACCAAAAGTCAAATTCAAAATTTAGAAAAAAAGGGAATAAGAGGATTATTTATAACAGTTGATGCTCCACAAGGTGGAAATCGTGAAAAAGATATGAGATCGAAAAAAATTGATCAACATATAAGTGTTAAAGGTGGTGAAAAAAATGATCGTTCTCACGGTGTTTCAGTTGCAGCTACATCATATATTGATCCATCATTAAATTGGAGTGATTTACTTTGGATTAAATCAATTACTAGTTTACCAATTTTATTAAAAGGTATACAATGTGTTGAAGATGCAGTTTTAGCTGCACAATATGGATGTCAAGGTATAGTTTTAACTAATCATGGTGGTAGACAATTAGATTTTTCAAGAGCTCCAATTGAAGTATTAATTGAAACAATGCCAGTTTTGAGAGAAAAAGGATTAGATGTTAACTTTGAAGTTTATATTGATGGTGGTATTAGAAGAGGTACAGATGTTTTAAAAGCACTTTGTCTTGGTGCAAAAGGTGTTGGTCTAGGTAGACCATTTTTATATGCTATGTCAACTTATGGACCAGAGGGTGTTGAAAAAGCTATTCAACTTTTGAAAAAGGAAATTGAATCAAGTATGAGATTATTGGGTGTTACTTCAATAGATCAATTAGGTCCAAAATATGTTGATATAAGTTCATTCCATAGTAGATCTGTTCCAGCTGATAAATTATATGATAAAGTTTATCAACCTTTGACAAATCCACCATTTAAGAACAGTAAATTGTAAACTTAATATTCGTAGAAATTGTATAAACAATAAATACAGTCTTAATCAAAAGATTTTAAATGCAAAAATTTTGATAAATCGATTATTACCAAATTTACTGAATCATGTAAGATAGATGTCAAGAAAATACTTAGTGCTAGAAAGACGGTCTAGAATAAACGTGAAAGAGATCTTAGTACTCGTTTCTTCGAGTTGGTTTGTTTGCAATTGAAAGTTATAACATCTAATAATTAACCAATTGGACGTGGAGTTCAATATGTCTGAAGCAGTCTTTTCTCTACTTTTGTGTAGTTGCGGCCCTTAATCTAGGCTCACGTGTATTATTCAATGATTACTCGACTGCCATAGTTTAACTACCATAATCTCGAATCATCAAAAGATGAATCCACGACGTTTCTGAAAACAATAATAAAGAGTCTGATTGCAATCAACGTAAGCAAACTAATTATTCATTCATATCTATACAACTTTCCATTATCTCTTGTTCTTTTGCTTTATTTCGGCTTCCTTTATAGCATGAAGTTTTATAAAATTTGGATAATCAGGTCTATTACCCATATAACCCAATGACCAATCATAACTAACAGCATAAGCAAATATTGATCCATTTTTATTAAAAGCTGTAGCTGATATAGTACCTGGTAATTCTGGAAATGATTTTAATCTTTGTTTTGCATCTTTATCCCAAAAACAAAAAGTTCCATCAGATCCAGCTGTACTAAAAGTACCAAAAATTGGATGAAAAGAAATTGCATTAACTGGATAAGCTTGAGATTCACCTGCACTTGAAGTTCTTGAATTTGTAGTTGGTCCTGATTTTCTATGACATTTAAATGAAAATCCAAATTTTTTTTGTTCAGATTCCGTTATATATTGTATTGCACATCTTCCTTCAATTGATCCAATTGCAAATCCATTTGCTTGTGGATAACATGATATGACTCTTGTTTGCCATTTTAATGGTGATTGACTAGTTTTGAAAATTTGTTGTGGATTATTTAAATCAATTATACTTATATGTCTATCTGCACATCCAACAACTAATAATTTTTGTGATGCATCCATACTATAACATCTTTCTGGTAAATTGATTGTACTAACAGGATTTGGTGTTCTCATATCCCAATATTTTAAAGTTTTATCCCATGATCCACTAGCCACTACGGGAGTATTAGTAGGACCACATTCTACGTATCGTACTGATCTTACCGGAGCATCATGTTGTCCTATTTGTTGTTGTTGTTGTGATGCAAGATCAAATATTTTGACTTGATTATCTGCTCCTCCTGATATTACTTTGGTTCCATCTAAGGACCATCGAGATGAGAAAACCGGTGCATTGTGTTCGTATAAGGCTTTACCTTGATTGTTACCTGTATTTGGATCTATTTCATATATTCTGACTTTTTTATCCCAACTTGCAACAGCAAGTAGATCTTGTTGTGGTGAGAAGGATAAATCTTCAATTGAGTCTTCTGGTGGGTTATTTATTGTGATGTCATTAAGTAATTCTTGTCCCGTGGCCGCACTAGACGTATTTGATGTGGACGAGGTGTTGCCAAGAAACGACATCTGTTTGTTGATAAAATGATGGTTGTTTAGTTTGATTCAAGTTAATTTTTTCGGTTTCGATTTTTTTTTGTTTCAAATTTGTTAATCGATCTACACAGAAATTGTTAAAATTTTACGTCTATTAAATTACTTTATTTAAATATTATTTGATCTCAATTTTCAACTGTTATGAAAAGTGTTGCTCCTAAGCAAGTAATCATAACAACAAATCCCCAAATCGCCAAAAACAATCCACCATATTTACAAAATTTTTCTAAACTATTAAGTTGAGTTCTTTTATCTAATGGTTTCATTAATAAATAACCAAATAGACCTGGTAAAATAAATGATATTGATGTTGAACCCGTACTTCCGACTAATGCTAAAACTTTTGCAAGTGATGTAACTGATAATGCTACTGCGTAACTTAAAACTACTATGACTGCTGTAATGATGTAAAATTTTGTGTTTGTTAATGGAACAATAATTGGATCATGACCATCGGTATCATGTGCACCTTCCATTGGAGTAGTTGATATAAATGAAGCTTCCATTAAACTGTTTTCATTTATTGAACTTAAACTTTCAATATCAGAATTCATGGAAGAATAACCAGATTCATTTCCTGCATTTTCAAGTAATCTATCAAATTTTTTACCATGTCTAAATTTATAAGATTCAGCACCATGTTGCAAAAAGTATATAACATGATTGACTGATCCTCTACATGGATGGCATTGTAATGGGAATGATAGACTAACCATTATGACGATACATAATCTTCCAATTAAAGTACTTATTGAATCTCTAGGATACATTGCAATAATATTTGCATTAACTGCATCACCATAAGTCAAATAACCAAAAATAGCAACAATTAAATAAGAGAATAATGCTGTAAGTATAGCATTACGTATAATTAAATTAGATTGTCTTGTTTGTGATCCATCTTTATCATCTGGTCTTAACTCATTAATTATAGCAAACATATTCTGATGACATGTATAAGCAAAAACGAACATGGGAAATGAACTTAATGTTTGTTTCCAGTCAATTGGACCTATCCAATCAATGTGTTTTGCTGGGACAGGGTTAAACAGATTGATTGACAAACTTTCACCTTTCTCTATTCCAAATCCAATTTCAATATAACTTTCAATGACTAAACAAACTAAGTAAGCAACTGAAAATAATGCTAAAATACTAGTATATTTCAAACTACTTAATTTTTTCAAAAATGATAAAGGTGCAACAATGAAAACCATAAAAATTGTAATCCAAAAATTTCTACTCATTAAAATGGATTCTTCTTTAACTTCCAATGTTTCCATAATTTTAGGCATTAAATCTCCAATAACTACTAAATATGAAATCCCAACACCAAAACATTTAATTGATATTGCTGAATCAAAAACAATTGATAAATTAGGATAAGTGACTTGTGCTAAACTAAAATATGATACTGAACCTCTTTGTTTTGTATATCTTGCAACTTTATTTTGTAAATAAAGACCAAATGCTGAAGTACAAGCTGACCATAGTATTAGAATCGATCCAAATAATAAACCATTTGCTTTTAAACCATAAGGCATTGCCAAAATACCTGCACCAATTATGGTGTTTAATATATTTATAGTCCCTGATTTTATAGTCGCTCTAGCCATATTGTAATGAATAATTATGAATTGGGTTGAATTTTCTATAGGTGATATGAGATCAGACGAAGATCAGATGTTGAAGTATTTTTTCTAATCAAAATATTATAAACAATTTAATGTTGCAATTTTTAAAAAGAAATTATTTTATTGTTAATTTTGATTTTTCGAAAATTTGATTTTTTGATAAAAGATTATAAAAACTTTAAATAAAGATAAAGTTTTGAAGTTGGGATTTTAACATGAAGGAAAATAAATAAATAAATACTAGACTCATCACATTAATTTACGTGAATGGTCTCAACTTCACTTTGTTCAAACCACCAAACAATTTCCTTCGTTATCAAGATTCAATATTTTGTTTGGTCCAAAATAGACGGGTCGGCATTAGCAATCTTTTAAAAAAAAAATTTGCAAAATAAAGATTAAGCGGCGATCTTAGATAATTACAATTAAACTACACAGAAATTCCTTGACTCTAGTATTGTGAATTTTGCGGTGAATGCCTAAGATTAGAGGATCTGTCTTGGCTCTGTCGTGAAAACGGCTCGTTTTACTTTAATCCTAATCGACATACTTGACGAATGAAATTAATAAATATGAAGCTATACATGAAATTAAATTTGAAAAGTAGAATGAAAATCACTCTCACTAACCTCTAGCTCGTGTTTTAGGACGTTGTGAAAGCAGAGCACAAACACTTGAATCAGGTAGGTGTAAAATTGTGAAAAATTGTAAGCTCAAAAGTTTTAAAACCTTCTGTTTCAAATTGCTGCAAATTTTACAATATTCAAATATCTTTGTTTGGTAGCGTCAAATATCTTAATTAGCCAGTTTAAGCTATCTGATATCATTAACTTATTTACTTTCCTTATTTGTTGAATCAGCTAATGAGTTAAAAAATCAGTTAATTGAAATAACAGTTGTAAAAAGGAGGTAAAAAATACATTGCAAATTGTGTTAACTTGACGATTCTCATCTATTTTTAAACATAAAACAATGTAGATCGTAAATATATCAATGATATAATTTGAATGGCCTAAATTATTTTAATTTTTACGAAATAGAATAAGAGAAATAACACAACAACGAAAAACTTAAAATCGAAATGATAATAATAATAATAAGATTAATAATGTTGATAAATTTTTTCATTTTTTTACAATGAAATCTACAAAATTAAATTTCAGTAACCTCAACTTAATCATCTTCATTTCATTTTAGATAAATTCCATATCGAGCAAATTATTTTCAACGGCAACTTCATTAATTATTAATTAATTCGTATCTAAATGGTATGGATTTTGCGGTTTTTAAGCTAATGAAAATGGTTTTCAAATTATTTAGATCAAGAAAGAAGGAGTTTTCAGAATCTGCTATCAAAAATTTCTTCAACTATTCCCTGAGAACATGACTCTGCTTGAAACCATTTTCATTCCATTGAAAACTGCAAAATCCATAGCAGTTAGATAAGAATTTATTAATGAAGTAGCACTTTTAAAAAATAATTTGTTGGAAATGGAATTTATTAAAAATTTAAATGAAATGAAGATGATTTATTATTATCATGAATTTGACAAGTAAGACTTGAGTTTATGTATTATTGAAGTTGATAATATAAATTGGGAATGAAGTAGTAGTTACTGATTAGTTGCTATGCATTTGTTAGTTTCATATGACCATTATCATCATGTATATCTTTAAATAGTTGTTGGATATTAGTTTGAGTTATGATTACCATTCTAAAAAATTCACATTTGTTGCCAAATTTATACAATTGAGTATCTAATACCGCAAATTCATGAGCTACTCTAATTAGTTTTTTAGGTTGTTTCATATTATTATTAATTGATGGGGGAATTGTGAGTGTAGTGAGATAATTGTAAATGTTTCGTAGTAGTGGACTCTTGTATTGATGATTGAGTGTAAAGACTTGAGCTGAGTGTGTTTAAATTAATTATTTGAATTTGTTGTTTTCCAATTGTAATGTATTATCTGAAGCATTATGTTCTTGTTGACGAGTTAGTGAATCAGCAAAATGGTTTTTAGTTGTTGAAATATTATTTAATTGGAGATGTTGGACTAGATTTACCTGCTGCTGGATGAGTTGAACTTGGTGATACTTGAGTTGAGCTATCTTGATCTGATTGACCTAATTAACCTGGAGATGACATGATTGAATTAGTTTAGTGAAGTTAAAGATTGAAGTTGAAGCTGTAGTGACTGAGTTGTACTAGTTGTTGAATTGCGGAACTTAAGAAAAATGAAAATTGAAAAACTATAAGTGAAAAAATTCTAATTTAAAATTTGGGAAAGTTGATAAATATATAAGTTAAAGTTGAAATTTGAAAAATAATAATTTTGTAAGTGTTGAATTTCTTAGTGTGAAAAAGTAATGAAATTTTATATATTTGTTAGATTAGTTGTTGATTAATGTTTAGGAGTTAGGAAATGAATGTGAAATTTGTAATAGTTAATAGTATTTCCCCTCATGATATGTTTCAGAGTTTTAGACGTAATTAATTAAAGTTGTCTATTAATGTTTTACTTCTACTGTGTTTTATATAAAATGATCAATTAATATCTGTACCTGCTCTTTATATTCCAATTTTGTGATGAAATTAAAGTTGGATCTGCGGATTATTTCTTGGTAGTTTCATCTTGTTGGCCTTACTTAAAAAATAAAATGACTATGGTTGTCAATTAATGATCTTGAATTTGTTGTTGATCTTACCATTCGTCTAAATTTGTAGGGTGAAATTGTGGAGAAGTTGATGAAATTTGTTGATAACAATAGTTTGTTGAGTTAAATAGTTGAATATCATAATTGATTTATCAAAATTTCATGTGTTTGTATATTAAAATTGAGATGAATTTGTTTCAGATTTTGAAATTAAATTAATGTACTGCAGATAATCCATTTGTAATAAATAATAATTGTGGGGATAAAATTGTTAGGACCGAACTAAAACTTGTAATAATTTTGAAGTGTTGATGTTGAAATTTTGAAATTAAAGCTATGATACAATTTTCAGTAGCAATTCATAGTGTTTGACGTCTGTTCTATGACTGATTATACTCATGATGAAAAGTTTGTCTAGCTGCTATACAACAATTAATATATTTATGATCTAGATTATTTTATGTTTGGAATTAGATGGAAATCGTGGTGTTAACACAATGTGCAATGCTAATTTTTCATCATTTTTTAAACAATTATTCAAATTTAGTGGTTTCTCAAATCATTAGCTGACTCAACAAATGAGTAAATAAAGTAATAATATCAGATAGATTAAATTAATTAAAATAACTGGCGCTACCAAACAATACACAGTTCTACTACATTGACTTGGTCATTGTAAGTTAAAAAGTTGACGAACACGATAACGGCAAGTATTTGAATGTCAAAGTAATGGTCTTATCTTATCGTCCTGAATCCTAAATGATAAGTACTTGAGGTTAGAAGAGCAAATTACGAGTACTACCTTTTGAAGCTTAACTTATACTTGATTCAAATTTTTGCAACTTTTTACATGCTGAATTTGACCTTTATAGAACAGCACCTAAAATATTCAAGAAATGTATATCATCATGACTTGTTTCAGATACTTCTTGACGTAGTTTTAGGGTTAAATAATTACTGGTAATATTCGCTAAACTGATAATATTATATAAATGTATAACTCTGTGGGCTCTACACAAAATTTATAATTGGGGGAACCTACCGATAAAGAATGATCTAGACATGTTTACTTAGTTATGCACGTAAAAAACTAATGGTAACTAACAAGTTTTTTGAAAAGTCTGGCTTGTTTCAAATAGATTTTTTGTTGATTCTTTGTTGAAAACAAAAAAAAAATATTCTAAACAAATTGCCATTAAGGCTACTTGCACTTGAATCTTTTGAAGCCGACCGGACTCGAACCGACGATCTCTGGATGGTATCCGACCTATTTTAAGGCGAATTGGAATCCAATGCTTTACCAACTAAGCCACGGCTCCAATTTTGACGACTAGGCTACTTCCCAGTAATTGAAAAGTTTTGTGTAATTTTAATACTTGTTGATAGTGAATTGGACCTTCCTAAACTTAAGAACGTCGAAGGCACTCGTGAGCCTTGAATCAATTTATTTTGAACTTCATGGGTGATGGTTTGAAGTAAACGCAGGGCAAGAAATTATTATTCCGAAAATTCATTGACTACAAACACAATTTAATTACGTGTGGTTTTTAAGGTATAACTAGCATTGTGCCTTCTTTTTGATCCATCCTAGCTTAAGTCACCATATGCTTCAGGTGTCGTTTAAAAAGATTGAGTTTATAAATTATATGTTCATAACTGTATACAAAAAATATATATTGATTACAAGAAAAAAAAAAAAAAAAAAAAAAAAAAAAAAAGAAAAAAAAGCATCCCTCACACTGAATTTATTGTAATGTTAAGAATTTGTTATAAAGTATTTTGAAAGATTTTGTTGCAAAATAATATAAAATTTGATATTTTACTTAAGTTTATCATTTTTTGCTGCCTCTCTACCAGAGTTAAAACTCAATCGAAGAGTTGTATAATGGAACATAATTTGTAAGTAATTAAATTGTCCTCTCAATCATTGGATTTACTTGAAAAGAGTAAAACCTGAAAAGTTATTTTGTGCAGAAATTTAAAGTGATAAGTTTCAACTCATTCGTTATACCTTGTTAATATTTCATTAATATGCATTAAATCTCTCTATATATGAATAAAAAATTGGTCCATCAAACGCAAATTCCCAATATTGATAATTGTTTTAAAGAATTGAAATAAAATTTTGCTGAAGCATCAAGCAAATCAACATATTAGAAACACATACGAAATGAATTAAAATTGCTGGATGTATTCATGAATTATTCTGAACAAATATAATAGCCTAGTTCTTAATGTTTCACGATATGTAAAAATTTTTTTACTTCTCCTTCAGTTTCAACTTTTACAAATAACATTGAATAATTTTGAACTTCCAATGTTTGTT